CCGGTAGTGTTGGGGGAGGGGGGGCGGGCCCGCAGGCCGCAAGCCCTGACTGGCCCGAAGGAGAGGGCAGGTCCGAGGCCCGCCTCACCAGGTCCGACCCAAGCACCCGGCAATGGTCCCCTAAGAAGCCAAGGCTGTCCTTGGCCTGTAAACCTCTTCCCTTCGCTTGGGGGCCCTCACCTTGCGCCCTGCCCTCAAGCCTGCGCCCCCCCGCCGCCAGGCTGAGGGTGACTCCCTGCTGGGCCCCAGATCCAGGCTGCAGACCTGCAGCTAGTCCCTGGCAACATGGTGAAGCTGCTGCCCGCGCAGGAGGCCGCCAAGATCTACCATACCAACTACGTGCGGAACTCGCGCGCCGTGGGGGTGATGTGGGGCACGCTCACCATCTGCTTCTCCGTGCTGGTCATGGCCCTCTTCATCCAGCCCTACTGGATAGGCGACAGCGTGAGCACGCCGCAGGCCGGCTACTTCGGCCTGTTCTCCTACTGCGTGGGCAACGTGCTGTCCTCTGAGCTCATCTGCAAGGGCGGTCCTCTCGACTTCTCCTCCATCCCCTCCAGAGCCTTCAAGACGGCCATGTTCTTCATAGCGTTGGCCATGTTCCTCATCATTGGCTCCATCATCTGCTTCAGCCTGTTCTTCGTCTGCAACACTGCCACGGTCTACAAGATCTGTGCCTGGATGCAGCTGGCTGCAGGTGAGCAGGGTCGGTGGCCGGCAGGTGAGCAACACACCCAGGGCACAGTAGGTTTCCCATTCCACCGCAGTGGCCCTGGGTCTTCTGCTTAGTGTCCCGCAGATTCTGAGTAGAGTGTGTGTGGTGTCTCTATAATCCCAGCACCTGGGAGTCGGAGGCAGGAGGAGGACTATCATAGTTTAGAGCCAGCCTGGGCTACAGAGTGAGTTCCAGGCCATTCAGCGTTGCACTGTGACTTTTGTCTCAAAGGGAAAAAAGTTGAAAATCTTAGAAAGACTGAGACAGAGCCAATAAGATGGCTCAGCAGGCAAAGGCACTTTCTGCCAAGCCTGAAGACCTGAGTTTGATCTCTGGGACTCACACTGACTCCCATAAGTTGTCCTCTGGCCTTCACACATGTACACATGCACATGCGTGTGCACACACACACTCTTAAAGTAAATGTAAAAGGCTGAGGCAGAATGGTGTCAGAGGGTAGACTGTTTGGTCAATGCATGCTACAGAGGTACTGAGCCAGAGAGAAGTGACTTGCCCAGGAGCACAAGCTCCTGGTAGAAGAAATCAGGTGTTCTGACACCCAGGCCACTATACCAGAGGTGTGCTTTATAGCCCATCAGCAGCCTTTTGTTCTTGGCCCCTGCCCACTGCAAGGATTGTACACAGATGCCCATGAACTTATTTGGAGGTCTTTGTTAAGATCTTTGGTTAGGGGCTGGAGAGATGGTTCAGTGGTTAAGAGCACTGGTTGTTCTTGGAGAACACCCGCGTTTGAATCCCAGCACCTACATGGCAGCTAACAACTGCCCACAGCTCCAGCTCCAGGGGATCTGATAGCCTCTTCTGACCTCTGTGGGCATTGCACAATATGGGTGCACTTACCTACATGCAGGCAATACATGTAAAATTAAAAAAAAATTTTTTAAAAAGATCTTTGGTTAGCTCCTTTTGGAGGGCTGGTGGAACAGAACTCAGAATCTCAGGCCAGCAAACACAGACTCCAGCAGGCAGAGCTGAAGAGGATCCCAAGCAATTCCACCTGTGCCCAAGTACAGATGAGGAACTGGACTGCAAGAAGGCATCAGAGTTGGCCAAGGCTGTAATAAATCAGCTGGCAATTTAGGCCCTCAGAGAATTAAAGCAAGGGTTCCCCCAAAACTAGATGTATTCAGAAAACATCTTTATTAAGACTCACGTTTTGTATGATTCACAAGATAGAGTCATGTACATCTGGTGGAGCCTCATCACAACCCGGTGACAAGTGCTCCTGCATTCACAGACAAGGCAATTAGTGGGTAACCTGGCAGTGAGCATTCAGTTAGTGAGGGACGACTTAACTCCCAGTCTTGAACCCAGGCCACTAGCCTGACCTCAGAATTCCTCCCAAACTCCCCATCTATCTCCAACTCCCGTTTGATAAGGGAGAGGCAAGCTTTGGTGGGCAATGAAGAGACAGATCCACAGCGGTCCTATTGGAAGGGACAGTGATGACCGAGCACAAAGAGCAGAATGGGCTGGCGTGCTTGCCAGCTGGTTCTCTACACCAGGGCTATAGAATGCTGGAGTCATAGCCTCCTCTCTCTCCCTCTCGTCTCTCCACCCCAGCATCCTGCAACAGGTATGTTCGCTAAGCAGGTGCATGAGGAAGGCCTGGGTGCAGGCAGGATTACCAGGTCATTTGAGTCAGGTGCTATCTGGGTCACAGAGCCGAGACACTGATAGCAGAGATGGCCAGGTGCCATCCCTTGAAGCATTTATGATGGGGGACAAAGGGTGTTACGTTCCATGCTGTGTTATGGAGGGGAGGGCTGAAGAGGGGGCTGTGCCCCATAGTTAGCAGTTGGGAAGTGCATCTATTAGTTAACCTCACCCACAAAGCCAGGGGACTGGGCAGGGGTTGGGCAGGAGGGACCAATGACCTAGCAAAGGGTTGGAGGATGTAGCTGGAAAATATTGGAGAGTCTGATGCCAGTGTGGTCTCAGCTCAAAGAGGACAGGGTGTCTTCCCTGGGTCCTGGTAACATCCTTAGTAACTTTATGCTGCTATAATGAATTCCCAGAGATGAGCTTTAACAACAGACATTTATTCCTCAACAGTTCCAGACTGGATTATCTGAGGGTGGGAAATGGCACAGTCTGGTTCCAGTGAGGGTCTCATTCCAGTAGCAGACTGCTTCTTGCTCTGCTCACAAAGGATGGAGAGAGGGCAGGAAGGCTCTCTGTAGTCCCTTGTAAAAGGGCACTAAGTCCACCCATGAGGGCTTCATCCTTTTGCACTAATTACCCCCCAACCCTGCTTTCTGATACCATCACTCTGGGGGTTAGCATTTCAGCATACTAATCTAAGAGATTAAAAACATTCAGCCCAATGTTCATGGTCTGTAGGCTGTAGCAACGGTACCGTATCTCCCAGAGTTCACCTGAGGGTGGGCTAATAGGAGTACCTTAGGTCCTCGGCAAATGTGGAATGCACAGACAACAGGAAGTGACCAAGCTGTGAGACCTCCCTACCACAGTGGCCGTTCTGTCTCCTGGTGCATGTCCTCCAGGGTCAGGTGGGCCTGACTCTCAATGCCCTTGGTTGTCTGTCATTGTTGCAGAGAGAAAGAGCAATGAAGGTTTATGAAACAAGCCAGCAGCCAGGGATGGGGCTGGAAAGCCTGTGTTCATCAGGTTGAAGGCACCTGAGCCATACAGTATATGCAAAAAGGAAAATCAGGGCTCATGAGAACCATGGCCTGAGGTGGCCTTGTGCTTATTCCAGATGATGAAGGGAGAACAAGTGTCTCTCAGGCGAGAAATCCCATCAGATTCTGGAAGGCTCTGAAGCCAAAGTACACAGTGCCTTGAGTCTAGGGTTAGATCAGCAGAGGGGTGGCAGGACCACCTGGTGCAAGGCAGAATGTCCCTGGCTGAGGAGCCCAGCTTCTCCATCTGCCTTGACCCCTGGCTCCCAGGGCCAGCTGCTGAGCCTCAGCTTTTCCACTTGTACTTACAAGGATGGAAGGAGCTGCCTCTTGTGGCACTCAAGCCTAACTCAAGGGCCGGGGAGCTGACAGGAGCAGTTCGAGGTAGCAGGCTGCATATCCAGCCTGACACCACTTGTATCCTCTCTTGTCCCCTCAGCCACAGGCCTAATGATCGGCTGCCTGGTCTACCCAGATGGTTGGGACTCCAGCGAGGTGCGGCGCATGTGTGGCGAGCAGACGGGCAAGTACACGCTGGGCCACTGCACTATCCGCTGGGCCTTCATGCTGGCCATCCTCAGCATTGGCGATGCTCTCATCCTCTCCTTCTTGGCTTTTGTGTTGGGCTACCGGCAGGACAAGCTCCTCCCTGATGACTACAAGGCAGATGGGAAAGGTACCTGTTCTTCACAGGGGTGTCCCTGCCTGGGAGTCTAGGGGAGGTGAGGGGCTCTCAGAGGTCAGGTGCATCCAGGTCCATGGAATCAAGATGATCAATCGATACCATGTTTGTCCTCCCTGAGGAGAGACCCCAGTGGAGGACTGTAAGCTGGCAGGCCGTGGCATGCTAGAACTGCGTGCAGGGAGACAGCCCTAATACAGTTGAGGGAGCTAGACAGGCCCCGCCCAGGAGGCACTGGGGCTGTGTTTTGCAGTCGTGTGGGGCTTTGGCAGGTGGAGAGGATGTGGGAGAGGAAGGCATTGAGCTGCTGGGGAAGAACCGGCACGCCAGTGCCCCAAAGTTGTCTACGAGCACGCGGGTACTGAAGGGACAGCTCCCGAAGTGCAGAGGGCAGAGTCGGACTCCCAGGCGGCTTCTCCTATGTCCATTTTGGTTCAATTTGTCCCCAAGGCTACAGAGATCCCTGGGAAACCTTCCCTGACTGCTTCCCGTTGGCCTCTCCCTTCCTGGGGAGTCTTAATGCCCATCTCTCATGAGGCCCTCCTTTCTGACCCTCCTACCGGGCTTTTCCAGTGTCACGGTCATCTAGTCGGAGGGCAAGACCTGTCTCACCCCCACGCGCCCCCAGCTCCCAGATGTCATTCCCAGCAGGTAGCCATTGGACCTGCAGCATTTCAGGGATCTCCTCAGCCTCCTTTCCCCAGAGCAACCTCTTCACATCAGCCAACCTCCCTCACCCCATCGGGCCCAGAACCAAGAACACTGTAAACACTGTACATGAGAAGCTGGGAGATGCCCAGAGGTTCACAGGAGGGATGGCATATAGCCCAGAAGTCAGGCCTTCCCTAGCTGAGCCTGAGGTCCGCTCTTCTCTGACTGGAAGAGACTTACAGAATGGACTGCAAATTACTTGAAAGAACTGGACTGGACCAAGGAGATACTTCTTTCACAGGGGACTCCTGTAGCTCCTGTGTTCCCTTAAAGGCTCTACGAAGGGAAAGAAAACAGAACTAGTATTTATGGGCCATCTTCCCCATACAGGGGTGGGGTGAGGTTTGTTGGTTGGGGCCATCCTTAGTCATCACTCATGGTGACCCTGTGGGAAATGTGGGAGCAGCAGTCAACTGTCTCAGGCCTTCCCAGGAAGATGAGGTGGCAGCAGGAGCATTTTGTGTAGCTCTCAGCCTCCAGAGTCAGCTACCCTTAAATCTGTCTGCGTCCATACATATTTTTTGGTTAAAAAATTAAAAATTATACTGATGTGATTATGTGTACATGTGCAGATCCCCAGAGGCCCAGAAGAGGACATCAGACACCCTGGAGCTGGTGGTTGTGAGTCACCCAATATGGGTGCTGGGAACTGAATTTGGGTCTTCTGCAAGAGCAGTGCACACTCTTTAACAGCTGGGTCAGCTTTCCAGACTCCCCAGAGTCTTCACAACTATCTGCATTCTCTCTTTTTTAGAGGAGTTCCTTGTAGTCCGAGATGTTTATTCACACAAATTCTCCCAGAAGCACTTCTCCCACAGATGGTTGTTTACTATCAAGATGGTGGCTGCCCTCTCCTGTTTCCTCCCCATCCCATGTACCTATCTCCAGTCTTTCCAAATTTCTCTCTATATTTCATGTCCCTATCATCCAGGGCTTGCTTTGTTCTGTTTATAGCTTTGGAGTAAACAGCTCCCCACCCTTCCTGAATACATCCAGTTCTGCATTCTTCTGTCAGTGCAAACTGGGAACGGGAGTCAGGCTGAGTCCTGTGAAGCCTGGCTGTGCTCTGCCCCTTCTCTGTGGAATGAGAGCAGCAAGCCTTGCACAGGGCTGGGATGGGGCTGCTGGCCTCATTTTGGGCTGAGAACACAGGACAGAGCACTGGCTTTGCTGCCAGAACAGGGTTTCAGTTTGGGCTTCCCAGTAACTAGCTATGCAATCTGGCAGAGGCTGCCTAGCCTTCCAAACCTCAATTTCCACAACCATTGGGTGGTACGTTTTCACTGAACCGGTTTCATTCTCTATAGGACTATGCGGCAGGGCAGGTAGCTAGAAAAGCATGACAGCACCCACAATCGCTCTCTCACACCTTTTCTCTATCTCCAGGTTTTATATCGCCCCTCAGCCCTTCTCCACACTTCTAGGTTCTGTCAGGTCCTGGGGCTACAGTGGCAAGCAAAAATGTAAATTGGAGTTTACCATCTGGCAAAGGAGGCAATCAATCTTGAGATTCAGAATTGCCAGCTGCTCAGTGTTACCTAGAAAGACCTGGGAAAGCGAACAGAGAAATCTGATGTGTGGAGTGTGCAGTGAATTACCTACAGATAAGGCTTGCCTATGAACACTTTCCTCTCTCTCCTTACAGAGGAAGTCTGAAGCAGCTGGAGGTCGGTGATTCTTTTGGAGGGTAAGACCCCAGGAGGGCTGACTCCCAGCTGTGAGCAGCACGATCACTCTACCTGCCAGGGAGAGGGAGCTGTTTGGCATCACACTCACAGGGGTAGGAGGGTAGAGGTCTTGCTCTGTGGAAAGAACAAAGGGTGAGGAAAGAACCAATGCAGTGGGGAGTTAAGTTTCATAACTCATTTGTTTTTGGTGGAGTCTGGCAAACAGGACAGACTGTTTTTGGAAGTCATTATTGTCATTTGGGCTCTGATTTTCAGAAAGAATTTTAGGTGATTTGTAAGAAACATACTTGAAAACCTAGTAAAACAGAAAATAAGTCATAGAGAAAAACAAATATTCAACAAAGCTAATCTAATAGAAATAAAAAATTTAGAATACCAAATATTAAATTTAGCTTTCTGCTTCCTCGTAGCAGAGGCAGAAGGAAATAGTTTATCAACCGGTTTCAAATACCATTTAGTTTCCAAAACAATTTAGTAAGAACATTAAGAAATGACCAGCAGAAATCACCCATCTCTCTAAGCTGCTTTGTTCACAACAGTGAGCTTCATTTAAATGGTTTTCATTTGGGGTCGTGCCTCCCAACCCATGAAGACGTTTTTGTTGATGTTGTTTTTTGTTTTTAAAGCCTCACACTTCAGTGTGCATTCAGCATTCAGTTACAGGGAGTTTGTTCAAGGGCAGCACAGATGGAGGGAGCCAGTTTTTCTAAACAGCTTCCTGAAACGGGGATTTTAGAGTAGCACAGTATTAGTGTCTAAGGCTTTCCAGTGTTCACTGCTGGTGAACCATTTCCTGAGCCTGACCTTGGCACTCAGGGATGCCATCATAACTTCTGGTATATTTCTGAGTGGAATCAACTCAAAGGGAACTCAACCTCTCATGTACTTCCATTTCACTGTGGTGCTCGTGATCTCTTTTGCTACAGTGGAATTAGGACAGTCCCATGTCTGGGAAGAGGTGAAGTTGAAATGTAAGCCTGAATATATATTTTTTAAACGTACATTTATTGTGTGTGTGTGTGCGTGCGTGCGTGTGTGTAAGCTGGAGGACAACTTTCTGGAGTCAGTTGGGTCTCTCCTTCCACCTCTGAGTCCTGGGGATTGAACTTGGATTTTGTAGTGAGCATCTTTACCTAGAGAAACCCCATTAGCCCATATAACCATACACATACACATACATACGTACATACATACATACATACATACACACACACACACACACACACACACAAATTGGCTTTTTAAAAATGTCACCTTTGGGTTGGGTGTGGTGGCGCACGCCTTTAATCCCAGCACTTGGGAGGCAGAGGCAGGTGGATGTCTGTGAGTTCAAGGCCAGCCTGGTCTACATAGTGAGTTCCAGGACAGCTGGGACTACAGGGAGACCCTGTCTCAAAAAGACAAAAAAAAGAAAAAGAAAAAAAAAAGAAAAAAAAAAGTCACCTTTTACCGGGCGTGGTGGCGCATGCCTTTAGTCCCAGCACTTGGGAGGCAGAGGCAGGCAGATCTCTGTGCATTCAAGGTCAGTCTGGTCTACATAGTGAGTTCCAGGGGCTACAGGGAGACCCTGTCTCAAAAAGACCAAAAAAGAAAAAAACCAAAAAACCATAAAAGTCACCTTTTATACCCTACTAATTTTTTCTTTTTTTTTAACTCAGGTCATTATTTTCCAGGCAATGGAAACTAGGAAATCTGAATCTTCAGACGAACTCTTCTTCCAGCATCCTTGTCCTTGGCTATGACAGGACTCAGGCCGGAACTCTTTCCTCACAGGGTTGGAACCCTTCGGTGGCCCACTACCCACACACAGCTCTTGCAGGATCGCAGTGTTTCACAACGGAAGACATTTATAGGCTGAGTGGTATGGGGGTGCTTAGCCACGGGGATCCAATTTTCTTCCTAGTGTTTCCCACAAATAAGTCACTTCACTCTCTGGAGGTCTCTCCTCTATAAGCCAGGGCTGCTGAATCCATGTTTAGTAGGGGCCAGAGCCTGACAGCTTAGCTAACAGGGGATGCACTCTTGGAGCCACACAGAAACAAATGTCTGGTCAGCTAAGAGGTGGCTGGGACCACCAGGCCCCTCTGCTTCTGTTTTCATACCTCAGAAAGGGGCAAGGAATGGAGCCGCAACATGGGACTGAGAAATTCCCTAGTCAAATTTGACTATCCCCTTGAGGGGCAAAAATCACATGTCTTCATAGTGCCCACCCTGACCCCTTCAGAAATTTGTCATTCAGATGCAAGTGATTTTTCACAGCAGTCTAACATTCTTGTCAGAAACCCAGGATTTGGTACACCAGATGGCACTCCTGTCAGAATTTAATAGCTCCTTGTAGGAAATGTCGAGGCAAAAGTAGGTCCTTCACTTGATCCCTTGTGCTGGGGGAACATGTTGGTTACCTGCAGCGGATGACCTGTGAAACAGGATCTGGGCTCCATCTACTTTAACTCCCTGGGTGCTGTCCTCAGGGGTGGAGAGGGGTACTGATAGGCACCAGTGATGCTGGATGTTTTCTTGTTCTTGGCTGTCAGCTGACACACCTTGATGATCTGTCTAGGGTGCTACTTCCTCCACTTTGGAGCTGGGATGGGCATCCAAGTGTGTCCTATTTAAATAACTGGTGATGGGAGCTGGGGGTGTGTCTCAGTTGATAGGGTGCTTGCCTAGCATACAGAGACCACAGGTTCCATCTCCAGCACTGGAAAAAAAATTGGTGGTGGAAAGTACTATCATGGTATCGGGCCTTGTACCTGGTGCACTGACCGCAGCTGGTTTATGAAAGTCCTCACCTTTTCTTTTTGATGATAAAATTACTCAATTCAGTCAGGCCCTTCTGTTATGCAAGCTGGGTGGGTGACAGCTTGCTATTGGGTCGCTCAGTGCGTGTACCTCTCACGGGTACTCCTACAAGAGGTCCCCACCCCCAGTTCCATTGATAGGACAAATGTAGTAGTTGTCTGCAGATGCTCCTGGGGGTGTGAGCTGGACCTGCCTACACCCTGTGCTGAGACAGGAAGTGTGTTTCACCAAAGAGGAGTTGGGTTTAACCCATGGCCAGTTCAGGGGAAGGACAACTCTGCTTAATGGCCTCCTTAATGGTCTCCTTTTTGCTTTATCTTCAAGGAATCAGAGGATCCAATGTCACCAATAATATTAATGGTTTTGATTCTGAGCTTTTCTCAAGTGGCTTTACTTTTAAATTCTTAAAAAGCACCTCTGATGTCATCCGTCTTTGGATATATGCAGAATAAAAACCAGCAAAACCAGTGCTCTTCTCACCAAGTTGCTTCATTCCTTCTCCCCTTGACCTCCTCGGCCTTGGGCTGGGACGTAGAGATGGCTGTGGTGCCCAAGCATTGTTGTTGTTGTTGTTGTTGTCTCTTTTTTGATACAGGGTCTCCCTGTATCTCCAGCTGGTCTGGAACTATGTAGACCAGGCTGGTATTGACCCCACAGAGATTCACCTGCCTCTGCCCTCCACGTGCTGGAATTAAAGGTGTGCATCACCAAGCCCAGCCCAAGCTTCACTCCTAATTAGTAGCTCTGAGCAGATAGGTTCAAGGGAGGGCTGGGGGGCTGGGGGAGTGCAGCTCAGTGGTAGTTCTTTGCCTAGCACGCACAAAGCCCTAGATCTGATCCCCAACACTGAAAAAGAAACAAGCAACCAATCTTACCCAGGCATGGTGGTACATACTAATTCCATTATTTGAGAGGTAAAGGCAGGAGGATTAGAAGTTCAGGGTCATCTTTGGCTACAAGTAAATTTGAGGCCAGCTTGTTACATAAGACCATCTTAAAAAACAAGCACACAAACAAAACAAATTTCAAAAAACAATATGTGGTTCAATCCTAGCAATCTTGGTAGGCTCAAGATATCAAGGTTAGGGTGGGGATTACATACAAAGACAGTGTCAAAAACCAAAGCCAGGCATGGTGGCACCCACCTTTAATCCCAACACTTGGGAGGCTGCAGGGAGACCCCATCTCAAAAAGACCAAAAAAAAAAAAAATCTATTTATAGCTAAGATGTGAACTTCCCCACTGCTTGCAGGACATCACAGCCCTACTCATTATCTACCTGGAAGCCAGTGGTTTAGCCTAACACTGTCCTCATGACTTCCCAGGGTAGGAACCCCAAAAGAGCTATGTGCCTCATAGCTTCTCACAGGCGCCCAACCCCAGGGGCTGCTGGGACTTAGGGTTCCTTGCTGGCTGCCATCTTTTCCACAGGCCACTCACAGGGCAGCTTGCTTCCTCAGGGTTCTGAAGCAGGGCAAGACAGTGCTAGAGGCTGTACAGACAAAACCACAGCCCTTCCCAACCTGACCCCACAAGCAGCAGCACCCATCCCACTTACTCTGTCAGAAGTCACAAAACACAGTCCATGGGAACATGAAACACTATGCAGTGGGCATTACTGAGGCTATGTGTGGGTAGATGTATGTGCATGTGTGGATCAGAGATGGATGTCAAGTGTCCTCAGTTGCCCTCCACCTTCTTTTTCTGAGACTGTCTCTTGGTGAACTGGAGCCCATTCATTCAGCTAGACTAGCCAGGCTGGCCAGTGAGCCAGAGATCCTGCTGTCTCTACCATCCCAGCACTGGGATTACAGGAGATGCCACCACACCCAGCTTTCATGTGTGCTGATGCAGGCTCATTTCACTGAGTCATCTCCCCAGTCCTGGGGCACTTTTACAATTTCGTTTTCACAGCTCCTCCATTTTCTGCTGAAGAGCTTAGAGATGGCACAGTTTTGAAGCATGGAATGCTTCCCAAATTCGAGTGCCATTCGTGTGCAGGGGCCACGCTGAGCTCAGCAGTTCCAGCAGTAGGTTTGTTCTGCAGGCAAGCACTGGGCACATTTGTTTTGCCGCTGATGAAAACAGGAGCTCCGCTTCTGAAAACACACCTCACTTTTGCTACCCCGATAGACAGCAGGATTGATTCTGCCCATTTCCAACCTAGCCACACTCCCCTACATGTAGTAAATCCAAAGTGGACCCTGCAAAGCTAAACCTCGGCATAGCAGCACAGCCACAGAAAATGAGAGCCACAGGAGGGCAACTACCCCACTTCCCAGAACAGCCAAGTTCAGCCATTCAGAGCTAAGGTTTACTGTATATTAAAGTGGAGAAAAGCCAGACCTAATTCAGACAAACGGGAGATCATGATACAAACTGAATTTGAGGATATAAAATCCAATGGGGCTCTGTGTGCAGTGCTAGAAGCCTCCTCCCTTCACAAGGAATGGTATCACCTGTTTGCACAACTGGAAAGACACTAAACAGACTTCCTTAGTTGAAAAGCTTGAGTAACACCAAAGTAACCTCAAACTTGGTCACCATGGTTAATAATGCTATGAAGGGCTGAGAGCTTTAGAGTTGTCAGTGCTTTGAGGATTCCCAAGATACACCCATCAAGTATATCATTTTTAAAAATATTTTATTATTTTTATGTGTATTGCCTGCATGTAAGTGGGTGCATCTGTGTCGTGCAATGCCGTGGAGGTTAGAAGAGTGCTTCAGATTCCCCTGGGACTAGAGTTAAGGACGGTTTGCAGCCGCCACGTGGGTGCTGGGAATCGAACCAGGGTCCTCTGCAAGAGCAGTCAGTGCTCTTAACTGTTGAGCCACCTCCCCAGCCCCTCAAGTGTTATCATTTTATGTGTATGGGTGTATTGCCCACGTTTTTAAGTGCACCAGTGTTGTGCAATGCCCACAATGTCAGAAGAGGGAGACGGATTTCCTAGAACTAGAGTGCTGGGAACTGAACCTCTGCAGGACGCCAGTGCTGGTTATGGCTGCGCCATCTCTCCAGCCCCGCCAGGCCTTATTTTTGAGCACACATTAAGTTCAGGAACTCACCAACTGAAGCACTTTCTTCCCCAGGGTAACCTGGAAGACTTTCTAGGGCTCAGTACAAAACCAGATAAGACAGCCAATTTGACCGGTTGGAACATGGTGCTGGCCAAGCGCTTCCCGGTGGACAGTGCTGCTTTTCCGAGGTGGCCACAAGCTCTTCTACAACAACACTCAAAACTCTCCTCAAACCTTGAGAACTCAAGGCTTAGAGGGATTGCTAGCCTGAAACTAGTAGACCAGGCTAGCTTTCTATTCAAGTGCTCTGCCTGCCTCTGAGCCAGAGTGCTGGGATTAAACGTGTGTGCACCATGCCAGGCTTGTCTCTGCTTATTCTTGTCCTGTTTTTTTGATCAGTTATATAGTTCAGGGGCAACTGAAAAAAATGACTTTTTATGAATAACATAAAAAATGCCAGATAAGCTGGGGGTGGTGGTGCATGCCTTTTATCCCAGCGTTCAGGAGGCAGAGGCACGCAGACCTCTGGGAATTCCAGGTCATGGAGGCTACAGGAAGATCCTGTCTCAAAAAGACAACAAAAACCCACAGATAAAAACGATGGCAAATTAAAACCTGGACAAAAATCTTATTTTCTTCAATATAAAACAAGTCCTCACAGAGCCATCTAATGATGGCTCAGAACCAGCAAGTCAACTCAGTGTGGTGGTGTATGCCTTTTATTAGAGGCAGGTGGATCTCTGTGAGATAGAAGCCAGTCTGGTCTACATAGTGAGCTCCCTGTCAGCTGGGGCTACAGGGAGACCCTGTCTAAAAAACCAAAACTAAAAAAATCAAGGGCTAATGATGTAGCTTAGAGGTAGGATACTAGTATAGCATATACCAAGACACTGCGTTTCACTCAAACAAAACAACAAATCTCCACAAAAATTACAAAGGCTCCTTCAAGTAACAGTCACAGAAGAAAACCATCTAGCCATTCTCCAGATAAGTTAGGCAATGTTTATGAAAGGCCTTTAAAATGTGCTTCCTCTCTGGTCCAGTCATTCTACCTCTAAGGATTTATCCCAAGGACTGATTTAGACAAGTACAAAAAAAGCTTTGTATGGGGCTGGAAAACTGGCTCAGCATTAAGAGCACTGATTGCACTTTCAGAGGACCAGGGTTTAGTTCCTAGCACCCACATGGCAGCTAATAACCATCCATTACTCTGGTTTCACAAAACCCTCTTCTGGCCTCCTTGGGCATTACATGACACACATGCCCTTAGTTGCATGCAGATAAAACACCCATACACTCACAAAAAACTCTGCATAATAGATCTAATGTCAACAGTTCCTCATCTAGAGTTTACTGCACTTCTGCATACTTACTAATTTGATCTTTTTAATTCTATTTTTATCTTATGTGTATGTACGTATTGCCTGCATGTAGGTTAGTGCACCCATGTCGTGCAATGCCCGCAGAGGTCAGAAGAGGCTGTCAGATCCCTTGAGACTGGAGTTACAGGCAGCTGCCATGTGGGTGCTGGGATTCAAACCCCGGTCTTCTGCAGGAACAGTTCTTAACCGCTGAGCCATCTCTCTAGCCCCAGTAATTTGATCTTAAAAAAAAAAGGGGGGGAGGCTGGAGAGATGGCTCAGCAGTTAAGAGCACTGACTGCTCTTGCAGATGACCCAGGTTTGATTCCGAGTACCCACATGGTGGCTACAAACCGTCCTTAACTCCAGTTCCAGGAGAATCCAAAGCCCTCTTCTGACTTCTGAGGCACTGCACGACATGGGTGCACTCAGATACATGCAGGCAATAGACTCATACACAGAAAAATAATTTTTTTTAAAAAGGAGCAATAACAAAAACCCTACAAACACCATGGAAAAGCCTACTGAGTGTGTACACGCTCATGTGCAAGTGTGGAGGCCTGAGGATGGTACTGGGCATCTTCCTTTATTGCTCTTCACCTCTTTTGAGACTCCCACTGAGCCTAGGGCCCACCCATTCAGTTAAACCAGCAGCCAGCAGGCCAGGGGTCCTCGACCCCCAGCTCCTTAGTGCTACAGTTGAAGTTTTAGGTGTGCATGGCCATGCCTGATTTTTCTCTTTAAATCTACATGACTGGGTTTTTATGTAGGTGCTGGGATCTAAACTCAGGCCCTCACACCTGAGCCATCTCTCTGGCCTCTGGACAGGGAAAATTAACTCCCCCACAATTTTCCAAAATACAAGTTAATTCCGTAAGTAAAAGTCAGAAGCAAAGTCAGAAACCCTACAAACTGGCAAGTCCCAGGTTGCAGTTTTATTGTATATTTAAGTTAGAAAAGCATATTTAATCATTTCTTTCCTCTAACTGCTTGGGTCAGACCAGATCGGACAATGAATGAACAAAACTCCTGGGAACATGCAGGCTATTAAACACGTTTATTGTACTGCATTTGTAAGAACACAGACAGTGCACTCAGTAGAAAGAATATAAAATGCATCAGGACTTCATTTTGAACCAAGAGCAAATAGAAATTCTTGAGACCGTGGCAAGTGGACAGGCTTGTTGTGATCACGCTTAGTCGAAGTACAGCCCACTGGAAGCCTGGCTCCTACAGCCGCCTCTTTCCAGCCCTTCCAATTTCCCTGGCTCCTTAGGTGATTGGAAGAAAAGCCCTTAGTTGGGAAATATTTCCAAAATGAAGTTCCAGGTTCTCCCCCTATTAAAAACTACCTGTGATATCAATGCTTAAAACAGGCCCGCTGTTTGGTTTGCGTTTCTTGGTTATTTCACCTTAATATCACTAGGATTCCTGTAACTCCACAACTGATCCGGTAATAGAGGTTTCCGTTTGGTCTGCTATTGCTTTAGATGTAAATACAGTTGAAGACCCAGAGTAATTAGAATTGCTGAAGGATTTCCCTGCCGTGTGTGAAGTGATCTTTCTTTTATTCTTGATAGCTGCATAGATAGCCTGGCTTAAAATTCTTTCTACAGGAACACGTCTGGTGTCAGGAGTAACCAATCAAGAGCCAATGAACGGCTGGCCAGTTCCTCAGGGAGGATGTTTATGAGTTACATGGGATGCAGAAGACACCAGCTTTCTCACTGTGGGCGAGTCACAGAAGGTGAGAGCTGTCTCCATACGGAGAGGGGGCAGTTGCCAGCTTCATTGCAGCTTGCTAGGAGAGCCTTGGGGTACACCTCCTTGGCTTTCTGAGCTAGAATCTGAGAGCTTCTGGAGAATGCTGCAATCCCCAAGGCCCACTTGGTCCTTGCTGAACAAGGAAGCAGCCCAATCCTGCCTGTTGGATACTCAGTATCGCCCAAGGAATATGCAATGTTTAGGTAAGCAAGTCTACGAGAGGCTGATTCTAAAATAAAATTCACAAATCCCTTTTGCATTCAGAAGAATAAGCCTCAAGTACATTTCAATCATCTCAAAATTGCAGTTAAAAACTTACATTACACAAGGAAATAGCAGCAGAGGATGGTGAATCTCAAAACAAACAGGGGAAAAAAGACAAAAGAAAAGATGCCACCCCGCCTCCCCTGGCGCTTCCACCAGGCCTAAGGGATGAGAACAAGCCTCTGGATGAGAACAGCAAAGCCACAGACAGAAAATGCTTCAAGGCCAGAATTTTGGGAAGGCAAAGAAAAGCTGTAAACAAAAGCAGACATTGAGTGGAAAAGAATTGGAATGCCGGAACACTCCTCAAGATGGGAGCTCTGAACACACTTATGTCTGGAGTCGCCCAATCCTTTAGTTGCAGGGCAAGAATTTCAAGCTGAATGAGTGCTAGCTAGGGATGAAAGACAAACCAGTCAACCAAAAGAACTATTGTTAGGGTGACAGGACACACACAGGAAAGGACTGTTGGCAGGACAGCCGAGGCTCTCAAGAAATTATCATTCAATGGTTCTGTTATTGTTTACATTGAAAATCAGACGGATTTCAGGATCTTAAGAGTTAGCAGAGAATGAAAAGAATATGACAGTTTTTTGAACAGTGGTAAGATGGTGCCCAAATTTGGTGATTATACAGCTGACTGTAACCTGAAAGTCGCAGGGAAAAAAAGTGAACATAGAAAACACAGCAAGAATCCAGGAAGATGATGCAGCCCAGATACAGCAAGTTTAATGTCTCTGCTGTTCGGAGAATCAACACCCTCCCCTCCTCATCGTTATGCTGGCAATGGGATACGCTCTAGGAAATTTGACTCTCAGAGTCAGTGAATAAAAAGGATGGGCTCACACATCTTCATTCTTTTTTTAAAAAGGGTGCTGACATTTAAAGGATGTCCTAATGGAAAGGTGAGGGTATAGGGTGAGAGGCTGTGCATGTTTTCATCTTTGGCAGAGCCCAACCAAGGCCAATTCATTTAGGATGCCCAATGACTGTGGGAATTCCCACAGGGTCAAGGAAGCAAACCCAAATGAACACGCTGGATTGAAAAAAAAAAATCTAGAAACCCTTGAGGAGAGCTTCACCATGAAAAGGGAAGAGGGAAAGTCTCGGAGAGGGGCTGGAGGGCCAGTCTGATGATCTCTGCTGCGGTGCTGGATGGGGCTTAGGAGTTCAGCCAAGGATGCCGGAGACACTCAGAGGCAGTGGCTCTCTTCTCAGGGATGAGCTCCAACATGGGCAGTAAGAAATCTGTGAAGCCAGCTGCTTCTTCCTGAGACCACTCATACTTCTCCACTAGAACCTCAAAAAGGCCCCAAGGTTTCAGCTTGCTGATGTGTTTCAGGTCACCTGTGGTGAAGACAGTACAAGCTCACATACAGTCTATGTGTGGTCTCACGTATGCTGACATAGCCTTTAGTCCTATGTCATGAACACTGAGTTGAAGTTCATTTTCCCTCTCAACAGTCTAGTAAATGTTGCTTCAAAGTAAGACAATGATTTAAAAATAAAGCTAACAGTACATCAAATATGCATGAAATCAGCTAAAAAGAACAAATCTATATAGACCAGATACAGCAGTGCAGATCTGACACCCAGCCTAAATGCTCTTTGAAATTGACATTTTCTTCTTTAAAACAATGGTGCCGGAGATCAAACCCAAGTGCTCATACACGCTGGGCAAGTGGTCTACCGCTGAGCTACATCCCCAACCTTGAACTGGCAATCTTGAGACTGTTTTGAAGGGGATGTGTGTCTTGCTATTTTGCCAAGTCTTGGGGCTCCAGTGACCCACCTACTTCAGCCTCTGGAGAAGTGGAGGGATGCAGAGTGCCTGTTCAACCCGAAGCATGTCTTTATCTGACTTGGTACATCGAGAAACTCTTAGAAGCAGGCTACCAATTCCTACTCAGAGGCTGAGGAAAGGGTAACACTTCTGCAGACGCCTCTTGCCAGCAGGTGACAACTTTTCTCAGCACTTGTATAGAGGTTGTGGAGAAAAGGGCACTTGGCACAGCAGAGAAAATAAGTCAGACAGTTTTCTAGATCCTTCAAGGTTAGGTTTACATGTCATTTTTATTTGGAATGCATAAGAAATATGTGATCAAAGCTCATGCCTGGGATCCCAGTTCTCAGGAGGCTGAGGCAGGAAGACTGCCTGGAGTTTGAAACTCCAGGCAGTGTCATTGCTAGTTTCCGACTAGCCTGGGATAGAGAACGAGATCCCAGCTCAAACACTGAACAAAACCAAACAAGACATTATGAAGTATCTAACTTTCAACGAACATAAATCAGCTTAGTTGTTTTGCTTTCCTTTTTGAGAGTGTTTTGCTATGAAGCCTAGGCTGGCCTCGGTTTTCTGAGGGCTGGGATCATAGATGTGCACCTCCATGCCCAGCTCATAACATGAGCTACAGACCCTCGCACACTGGTTTAACTCATTGTTTTCCCTTTCTTTAAACAAACAGCAAGTATGTGCATGTTGAGTGTAGGTATCTACTGGAGGCCAGAAGGGGGCATCAGATCTCCTAAAGTTGGAGGTACAGGCAGTTGTGAGCTGCCCGACATGGGTGCTGAGAAACCAGCCCGGTATGTGCCCAGCAGTATATGCTCTCTGCTGCTGAGTCACCTCTGCAGATCCTGCTTATTTGTGTACACATCTCTAACCCCAGTACTTGGGAGGCTGATGCAGGAAGATTATGAGTTTCAAACCAGCCTGGAAATATGTAGTAAACTCCGTCAAATGAAAACAAAATCCCCCAAACAGCAAAAACTCCAAAATGAAAAGTACTTGTCCTTTGGCAGAAGCCGTTCTCAGAGCAAATGCCAACAAGTGCTATGGCATAGACGTAATCAGCCAATTCTGTCTCAGGAACACAGGTATTAACTAACAACATGAAGGGTAAATTTATCTTCCCCGTTTAGAGTTAGCTACTCCCTGTACAGTACAGACAGGTCAAGTCACAAAGCCTGGTGGAGCAGCTGGGCTCTAGCACACACTACTTACCTGTCTGCAGGTGAGCATCCAGGGCCCATTCACTCACCTTTCTGCAGGAGCTAGGGGATGTGGACCTGGCTGCACTTACTTTTTCAGACATTTTTACCCCTTTAATGACTGGGAAACAAGCAGAGTTGTTTTACCTTTTTTGGTGAAAAATTCCTTAGAATATTTTCCTGCTACAATGAGCTTGCGAGGCACCTTTCCCAGAAGTTCTATGATCAACGCAATGTGATCTGCAAAGATTTCAAGGGGAGGAGGGTAGAGAACAGAAATCACAGATGCAGCTTTGGACATGGGCAAAGAGTGGCATGAACACCTCACTAGAGAGCTCCTCACAAAGAAAGGAACCCAGACATCTAATGGAGAGTCCATACAAGTGACCAAGAGCTCAGTGCCAAGAGGGGGCTTGAGAACTAGTCAGTCTTGGTGTGCACGCTCTGCTTCCTGAAGTTGTATCCCTGAGGCTTCGATAGAAACTCCAGTTAACAACACTACTCTGTCACTGAAGTAGTCCTGGGACTATTTCCAACTGAGGGCAAAGGGTCTTGGAATTGTGCCTACCAGCTCTACGATGTGTGCAATGTGGACTAAGAGGGAAAGAAGGGCAGGATCAAAGTAAGCGGTAAACATGGTTTTCTATGAATAGCTTTCCTAAGGACCAGCTGTTTAAAGTGACTAGGAATCAAACCAAGGTATTCAAAGGGAGACTGGGAAGGCCACACACTACCTCAGGTGGCTGTTCACCTGACCACAGCTGGCAACTCTCACTGGATTTTGGAAGCTCATCTATGACTTTACTTTGGGCCACATGCCTGGGTCCTTCAGGTGGGTTCTTCAGGTAAAGTAAAAACTCATGTCAACACTCTAGGCATTCTGGAGCTGTTTTTTTTTTTAGACTATTCTTTGTTTGGGCTCTGAAGAGCTAGGATAGGCCAAAATTGCTATCTCATTGCAGATGAGGAAATGCAAGCTTGGAGAACAGCCTCTGCTGGAAGACTGCAGTTAAAAGAGCTGAACACAAATGAAGATTCTCATCTTTTTAGAAAAATTATTTAATATTAATTTATTTTTGGTCTTTTTGAGACAGGGTCTCCCTGTAGCCCCAGCTGTCCTGGAACTCACTATGTAGACCAGGCTGGCCTTGAACTCACAGACATCGCCTGCCTCTGCCTCTCAAGTGCTGAGATTAAAGGCGTGCGCCACCACAACTGGCCAAAATTATTTTTTAAAAAAATTTTATTTTTATTATTTTTATTTTATGTGTACGAGTGCATTGCCTGCATGTACGTGAGTGCACCCATGTTGTGCAATGCCACGGAGGTCAGAAGAGGGCTTTGGATTCCCCTGGAACTGGAGTTAAGGATGGTTCGTAGCTACCACGTAGGTGCTGGGAATCAAACCCAGGTCCTCTGCAAGAGCAGTCAGTGCACTTAACTACTGAGCCATCTCTCCAGCCCCTTATTATTATTTTGAGTGTATTGCCTGCATGTATACAAATACATCCGTATCATGTGATGCCCCCAGCAGTCAGAAGGTGGTGCTGGATCCCCTGGAATTGGAGTTACTGATGGTTGTTAGCCACCTTGTGGGTGCTGAGATTTAAAACCGGGTCCTCTGCAAGAGCCATTTCTCTAGTCTAAAAATTCCCATCTTATCAGTCCTAGCTCAGAATCTGAAATTTTTTCTAAAACCTTGTTTTGTAAGTGAAGTTAGAACATGCATTTTAAAGTACAGCTCCTTGAGCATAGGCTGCTCTGTGTCCAAGTCATACAGTGACATGTGAGTGTTTTAGGTAGGAACATGGCCTGTGAGCACTTCCAGGGAGGCAGGCAGACTGCAGTCTGGTATGGTGCCAGGCAGCTCTCAAAGCTCCAGGCAGCCCTACTGCCTCTCTGGGTGACAGAAGGCCCTCTTCTGGCTGCCATGGGTTTTGCATGCATGTGGTGTGCTTACATACATGCAGGCAAAACATTCATACACATTAAAATACATGGCCCTTTTAGAACAAAAAAGAACTTTCATAAATGACCATTATGCACTCAGGGAGTCTCAACTGTGGCTGTGTCTGTAAGAAACTGTCTTGACTGATGTGAGAGAACCCAGCCCATGATGGGCAGCACCATTCCTAGCCTGTGCTCTGTAGGAAAGCTAACTGAGCATGAGCCTGAGAGCAAGCTAGAGACCCAGTCAGTAGTCAGTGTTCCTCCATAGTTTCTGCCTGGACTTCCCTCCAGTGTGGGCCAAACAAACCCTGTCCTCTCTTAAGTTGCTTTTGGACAGTGTTTTATCACAGCAAGAAAAGGAACCTAATACAGTCACAAATCTCTAGTTATGTGCTTTATTGGGGAAAGAACAGGCTAGAGATATATACTGGGAGGTGTCAGTCTTATCTCTCCTCAAGTAAAGGAACTACACTGTCATGTATAAGGGGCTTTTAACATTCAGGAACTCATTACAGCCTCTCAACAGCTCTGACTGAGTTTCTGGTTTGGTAACAAGAACCTGGTTACCAAGAAATTTCTGCTGCTTCCTACAAATAAACACCTCTGTGTAAGATCACCATCAGCAACAAGCAAAATCAGAATGTCAAGGAGTACACTAGACCACAGCTTCTTTTACTGAAAATTTCTCAAAGCACTGGTCCTTACTATTTTTACTTTATGTGCATTGCCTGCATGTCTCTAAGTACACCTGTGTCATGCAATGCTTGTGGAGGTCAGAAGAAGACATGGGACTCCCTGGAACTGGATTACAGATGGCTGCTAGCTACAATGTGGGTGCTGGGAATTGAACTCAGGTCCTCTGCAAGAGCAGCCAGTGCTCTTAGCTGCTGAGGCGTCTCTGCAGCCCCTGGGAAGGATGATTTTGATGATGATAATTGCCTCTGTGGGTGGCACCTTCCCCTAGGCAGGGAAGAGTGTAGCGGTGAAGAGGGTAAGTGGAGCACAGGCATGTGTGCTTTCCTTTTCCCTCTGCTCTCCAAACCCTTTTTTTTTTACATTATGTGTATATATGTGTCATGTGTAGGCATTTGCATGTGAGTGCAGATGTCCACAGAGGCCAGAGGTATCATATTCCCCCAGGCTGGAATTACAGGCAGTTGTGAGCCACCTGACATGGTTGCTGGACCACTTAGCCATCTCTCCAGCCTTCCCCACCTTTTAAAATTATTTATTTTATTAATGTATGTGTGTGTCTGTGTGTATGTGCACTGGCATGTGGGTACCTATACAGGCCAGAGAAGGGTGTCAAATCCCTTGGAGCTAAAGTTACACGTAGCTGTGAGTCACCAACATGGAGTACTGGAGACCGAATTCAGAGTCTCTACAAGATCAGCAAGCTTTTAACTGCTGAACCATCTCTCCAGCCCCCAAAGAAATGGTCCTTTGGAAAAACAAAAAAAAAGCTTCCTGTAGTTCCAGCACTCAGGAGGCAGAGGCAGGCAGATCTCTGTGAGTTCAAGACCGGCCTGGTCTACACAATGAGTTCTAGGCCAGCTGGGGCTGCAGGGAGACCCTGTCTCAAAAAACAAATAAGCAAACAACATCAACAAAAATGCTTCCTATACTGAGGGGGGTACATATCAAAATACATTGTATGAAATTCTCAAAAAATAATAGTAACAAGAAAAAAAGTTTTCTATGTCAGGAATTATTTTTCCCTTGAAACGTTAATTCCAGCACACTATCTTTGGCTTATCAACAATAGGCAAACAGGCAAAATTGTTAAGTATTGTCCTAAAAGATGGCTGTGGAATGAGTGTAGGCATGCCACCCCAGGTCCTAGGCTCCCTTGACTGCTTAAATAAAGGACACACACATTAGGCCAGAGCTTTAAAGGCTTGTTGTTTAACAGCCCTTAAAGGCCGAACTCCAGTAAAACATCAGGGGCTGAGGTCTGGTTTGACTGTGGTACTGATTAAGAGTAGACAGGAGAGACCAATCTCCCTTTGCTCCTTCCTTGGGACTTTTCGTGTATATTTCAAGTTTCAGTGTGGTAGCTGAAGGTCCTACGCAATACAATTCTAGCCACTACACGTGTTCTATAGCACGCCATGCTATTTATAGTCTAGGCAAAAAAAAAAAAAGGAAAAAAGTATGAGATATAAATATAAGAGGCATTTAAAAACACTGTAAACATGCTGGGCACAGTGGCACATGCCTTTAATCCCAGCACTCCGGAGGCTGAGGCAGGTGGATCTCTGTGAGGCCAGCCTGGTTTCCATAGTGAAATCAGGACAGCTGCAGCTAACAGAGATCCTGCCTCAAAAAACAAAACAAACAAACAATGCCCCCCAAAACCCACACTGTAAACATACAGCTTCAAACTCCTAAGGAGAACAAAAACAGGCAGAGGGCAGGAAAAAAAATCAAGTGCTGACATGGTAGTCATTATTGCAGCTGCTTCTTTTGTTTTTTTGACACGGCTTCCCAATGGGCCTTGTGATCAGAGATCCATCTGTCTCTGCACTAACATAGCCGGCATTACAGCATCTTCTAACAAAGGGTGTGTGCTATGCAGGTATGAAACTCACCCAAACTGGGCTACAGGAGTTATTCAGCATACCACTTCCCATCTTCCAGACAGTGCTGAGGAAAGCTTGGCAAGCTGCACTAACACTGCCTAATAGAATCAGAAGGGAACCCCACTGAGGAGTGTAGGGCATTCCTGGGTCTCAGAATACCAAGTCCAGGCTCCCAAAGCCAGAGCAAAGCATAGCCAGTGGAGGACATACTCCCATGTGGCCCGTGCTGCCAGCTTGTCTGAAGAACTCCACCTATCCTGCAGACCCCCAAGTGCTGCCTCACAGCAGGAAGAAGGAGGCCAACTGATTCCTTCTGTTCATTCATCTAGGTGTCTGGACACCACCAGGCCAAGCAAAGTCAGATGTGCTTAGTTACCTGTCTTTTCCATGGCCTCTCGATGGAGCCTAGAATAGCGTGGGCTTTTCAAAGGCCACCACAAAATTTAAATCTGCTATAATTTGACTTAAAATAGAATTCTAAATGTACAACTCAAAAAGGAAAAAATACAAATTTAATTTTTGGAAAAGGGAAATGTCATGTATGTGGGTTATAGATGATGCCTTCAAGCAGTGTTGCAAATTAGATTAAGACTACTGACTTCCAAGTAGATACTGAGCAACATCATCAACTTTTAGCATCTTTTCTTAAACATGTAGCATGTCTGACACCCAATACAGAACCTCTTTTTATGTAGTTTTAAACTACATAAGAGATGAGGTTTCAATATGTAGCCCAGGCTGGCTACAAACTTTCGGTCCTCCTGCCTCTGCTTCCACAGTGCTGGGATGACAGATGTGTGTGATCATGCTCAGTTTGACAGCATCTTTTGTATTTCTAGTGTTTCTGGGATGGGTAAATGTCTAATATAGTAACAAGCTTACTACGACAAACGCCGTTAGCCATCAGTGGAAAGTGTAACTGCCATGCACAGACAGCTGGGTAAAGGGACTCACCTTCATCTCTTGTGTAGTCCTCCCCTGAATGAGGTTCAAACAAATAGTCACCTGTGGCTAGTTCAAAGGCCTAGGAAAAGGACAGCACATGGACACATCAAAGAACAGGAATGCCTTTGGAAAGTCTGATGCTATTTGACTCAAAAACCTATAGATGATCATTTGAAAAATTAAGATTACTCCTGAAGAACTTTCATTATACATTCATATATTAATAAAATAGGGGAATAAGAAAAAGGGAAAAATCATTTGTACCAATTTGTGAACAAGAAAAACACACACACAAGAACTCAAACAAAAAGAAGTCAGCAGGCAGGTTCACCTTAAATTATGCTAAATAGGCAGAATACCTCGTGGGTTAATGAGATAGCGAATTTTTCCAGTCTGGAATCCTGCCTCCTAGAACTTCTGGACCAGCCATACTCATGTAGTCTGTAAGTCTTCCTGCTTTTCTGAATTCTCCAGAAATATGTAATCTCTCCTTTTCTTCTCTGTATCCCTTTTCTAAACACGCTTTTGTCTTTCTGTTTTTTTGAAACAGGGTCTCCCTGTAGCCCCAGCTGTCCTGGAACTCATTATGTAGACCAGGCTGGCCTTGAACTCACAGAGGTCTGCCTGCCTCTGCCTCCCAAGTGCTGGGACTACAGGCGTGCACCACCACGCCCGGCTTTTAAACACGCTTTAAGGCTTTGAGCTGCCCCTAGCATCTTGTATTTCTTTTTCTCTAAAGCTTCCGTCTCCCAGCCATGTGGTTACCAAATAGCCATGTGTCTGACCTCCACGCAGGCTTTAAACCTGCATGGCTTCATGGCTTCATTTCCCTCTCACCACCATTCTCCTCAAGGCAGCTGCCAAGATTACTAGCTTGCCTGTCCTGAGGACTTTTCTTTGAAATTCTAATAAAATTGTAAAAGCTTAAAAAAAGCAGCAGGGAATGGGCAGAAGGTGGGCAATGGGACATGGACAGTGTTCCAGTGGCCACTGCCCAGAAGAGGTCTCTGAATGCTCTTAAAAATTATCGCATTTTTATCTTGCATGTGCATGTTATATGGGTGTGCGCATGCCACAATATAAGTGTGGAGGTCACAGGGTTTGAACCCAGGCTGTCAGGTACCTCTACCCACTAAGTCATCTTCCCAGCCTAGGACAGTAACTATCAGAGGTGATGGGCAATTCTCAGACTGGACCACAGTAGTCTACCCAGATTGCATCTGTTGCAATCAGATGACACTCCCTGCAGCAATTCAGTCTTCTTGAGTTTCCTTCTTTGCTCAGAAAAGGGCACCCTTGGACACTGAGACAATTCTACATTACTAAATAATTTGTGAGAAGAAGAGGTCTTTCCTGCATTATAATTTTACATGGTCTAGAAACTGAATTCTAGTCTTCAAATTAAAACTGAATACTCAAATGTTCTGACTTTTACATTTTTCACAAAAAGTATACCTTTTTTTGGATACTGACTCTTGCCCATGTATTCCAGGGTGGCAATCCTCCTGCCTCAGACTCAGAGTAAGTCCTCAATAAGTTAATTCTGTCAAGATAACTGCTGAGAAATGTCCTATTACACTCTATCATGTCTAACTGATAAAACTGCAGTTGAAGGATGCTCACCTGACCTTCAGGTGCGTGTCCTGGCGCCAGCGTGCCAGGAGGAAGGGGAGCTGATGACAGAGCCCTCAGGTCTGGTGCCTTTCAGACTTTCACTTTTGCTGTGATTTGTATCCTTGGTAACAAAATTTTAGGTTTTGTTCTGAGGGGACTGTGGGGACCAACAATCTATAGTCAGTTGGTTAGAAGTTCAGGTGGCTTGTAGAAGACAGGACCTGAGGCCAGTGTGTGATGAGAACTCTCTCGCAGGCAGTCATGTGTCAAGCCTGCAAACTGGTGGTCAGGATCTTTTTGGCACTGAGGCCATCCATTCAAAACATGAAACCACACAAAACATACTTGATGTCTGTTGGTATGGTACTCAAGATCATGGGAAAACAAAGGAGCACCACATAAGTACAAACTGATTAAAGGAGAAGATCCTCCAGAAAACGCTCTTGTGCAAGAAATGACACAGTACACCCCCCATGTGAAGCTTGTTGGGACAAAGCAACCCATGATCTGCGGGTGACTGGGCTTCACCTGCTGTGAGCTACAGAGATGCCTGGAGCAGCTGAGCTGTGCAGATTGACTGAGTTTCCAGGGTGTGTCCAATCTGGAAAGAAGCCAGGGCTAAAAGCAACGGGCACTAGTACTCTCCTAACACCAATGTCTTAGAGAGGCTGTTTTCCATTCAGACTGCCCCAGGATAGGGTTTCTTAGAAGTTGCCTCTAGCAGGTCTTGTTCTGTTGCTGGTGCACTGAAGTCAGCACTCAGGGCCTAGCACAGAGCCACCTCGTACTGAGAGAAGGCCAACGGGGAAGCATTACCATGCATGCGGTGCTCCAGATGTCAGCAGGGGTGTTGTAGCCAGATCCTATTAGAACTTCCAGAGACCGGTACTGCCTGGTTTGGATATCTTCCGTGAAATGCTTGTGCTGAGCAAGTGAAAGAGGGAAAGGATGTTTGTATTTTAAAAGAACAAGTCAGGACTGCTTAACAATGGAGACTAAAATAAATTCTCTGAAAAATCTTCCAAAACCATTTCCATTTAGCTGTATGATTCTCAAGTATCATTTGACACTGTCAACCTTAAACAGTGCTTTGTCTTACTGTTATCTCAAATTATGTTTGCTTTTATTTATTTTTTTAAAACTTTTTGAAACAGGGTCTCCCTGTAGCCCCAGCTGCCCTGAAACTCAGGCCACCTGCCTCTGCCTCCCAAGTGCTGGGACTACAGGTGTGTGCCACCATGCCTAGTTCAAATTACTTTTGAAAACAAATGAGCCTCAGCTTAGTATTGGTATACAGATTAAGACTAACAATAAGCTTCATTAAGAAAGAAATTTAGGGGCTTAGAGAACTGGCTCAGTGGTTAAGAGCACTGACTGCCCTTGCAGGGGACCTGGATTCAGGTCCCAGAATCCACATGGTGGCTAACAATTGTCTACAACTCCAGTTCCAGGGGATCCAATGCCCTCTTCTGGCCTCTGTATGCACACACAGGTGCACTAATATATGCAGGCAAAACACTCATACATATGAAAAAAAAAAAAAAAATCAACAAAAAGCTGTAGGTTCCAAGCAGCTTATAATCACAACCACCACTCTGTTTAAAAAATTAAAGCTTAATAAAAATACAAAGACAAGCTTAATGAATTGTAGATAGGAAAGAAATGTCTATAGCTCTTAGAATATGCAAAGCAAAATATGGAAGACAAAGTTTCTAACCCTGTTAATAAGACTGGACAGAAAGCTTCAGGGAGAAGGTACTGGACTAAGTCTGACTAATGAGAAAAAAGGACACGAACCACAGAGCAACAGGAGAGGGAAGGCTGAAACCCAGGGACACTCGCTGAAAGAACATTCACAATTTAAAAATTCAATGGCCAGGGGCCAGTGAGATGGTGCTGTGGGTAAAGGCGCCTGCCAGCAAGCCCGATGCCCCAAGCTTAATACCCAGAACCCACACGACATAAAGAGGGAATGGACCCTGGCTAGCAGTCTTTTGCACTGTGGGGCACGTGCGCATGCACACGCACACACACACATTTCAATGTCCATATGTGGGCTATGGGAAGTAGGAATTAAATAGACTGGCAAAGAAGTCAGTGCACAAAATTTACAAAGTGAAAAATAAAGGATTATTTTGAGGATCTGCTGAGAGGCAGAAGAGCTCTGCTGGTGAGCTGGAGAAGCAATGTGGCTCAAGTCTGCCACCTCACAAGGGTTGGACCAGTGGTACCATATGTCTAGAAGTGGGTAAGAGGGAGGGATTAGTATCTTAGGTGCTCTCTCTGGGTTTTGGGCAATGTGTCTAAGGCTTTATCAGTCTTTTTTTTTATTAAGAATCTACTCCTGGTCTTCGTATTTTGTTTCTATGCCATTCATTTCTGCCCAGATCCTCTTTTTTAAAAAAAAAATATTTTTATTTTATGTGAATGAGTGTATTGCCTGCACGTATGTGAATGCACCCGTGTCGTGCAATGCCTCGGAGGTCAGAAGAGGACTTCGGATTCCCCTGGAACTGGAGTTAAGGACGGTTCGTGGGTGCTGGGAATTGAACCCAGGTCCTCTGCAAGAGCAGTTAGTGCTCTTAACTGCTGAGCCAGCCCTCTGCCCAGATCTTTATTTATTTTCCATCTCCTGACTTTGGGTTTGACTTTAGTTTTGCCAAGGCACAAAGTGCATCATTAACTTGAGATCTGATTTCTTAAAAAAAAAAAAAAAAAAATTTGGGCAGATGTGGTGGCGCATGCCTTTAATCCCAGCACTCAGGAGGCAGAGGCACACGGATCTCTGAGTTCAAGGCCAGCCTGGTCTACATAGTGAGTTCCAGGACAGCTGGAGCTACAGGGAGACCCTGTCTCAAAAAGACCAAAAAAATTAAAATTAAAAATTATTTACTTAGTACGTATGAGTGTTATGCCTTCCTTACAAGTATGTAAGTGCACCAGTGTTGTGCAGTGCTGGGGGAAGACAGAAGGAAGCATCAGATGCCCTGGAACTGGAGTTACCTACGGTTGTCAGCTGCCATGTAGACACTGGGAATCAAACCCAGGTCCTCTGTAAGAGCAGTCAGTGCTCTTAATCACTGAGCCAGCTCACCAGCCCTCCCTCCCTTCCTTCCTTCCTTTCTTTCATTTACTTATTTGTCAGTGCTCTTAACTACTGAGCCATCTCTGTGTCCCCCTTTGATTTTTAAATACAAGCACTTAGCGCTGTAAATTTTCCTTAGAACTGCTTACCCATGGAGTTTTGGTACAAAGTGTTTTCATTTTCATTCAATTTTAGGATTTTTCTGATTTCTTTTTTGAGTTCGTCAATGACACGTTCATTTATCACTCAATACTGTATATTTTAATTTCCATGTATGTATGTTGTATGGTACCTCTTTTTTTTTTAAAAAAAAGGATTTGAGCTGGAGAGATGGCTCAGCAGTTAAGAGCACTGACTGCTCTTGCAGAGGACCCGGGTTCGATTCCAGCACCCACATGGTGGCTACAAACCGTCCTTAACTCCGATTCCAGGGGAATCCGAAGCCCTCTTCTGACCTCCGAGGCATTGCACAACATGCAGGCAACACACTCATATACATTAAAAAAAAATTTAGCTTTAAACATGTATGTGCGCAGTGCAGTTGCCCAAGATCAGGCTGATTTGTAGTTTTGTGATCAGAGTCACAGTTTTATTTCAATTTGTACAAATTGCTTGCTAAGACTTGATTTGTGTCTTATTATATGATCTACATATTCTGCAGTGTTCAGGTACGGTGCTCTGTAGATGTCTTTAAGTCCATTTGTTGTTCTCTCATTCAGATGTTACTTTTTGCCAGGACGACTTGTCAACCAGTGAGTGGCGCACCAAAGTCACATACTACGGTCATGCTGAAGTTTATCTGTGACTTTAAAACTAATAGCATTTGTTTCACAACACCTGTGACCACTGTGCTATGTGTTTAGAATCGAATGTCCTTGACAAACTGTTCCTTAATCAGGAAGAAATGACCATTATCACTTAACTAGTTGTGAACAAGAACCCCTCTTTTCCAAGGGTTATTTGCCTGGAATACTTTTTCACATCTTTTCATGGTAAGACTGTCTGCATCTGTCTTTAAGGTAAAGTTACCTATGCTGTCTTAAACACTGCTAACACAAGGCTCCTGCCTTTGAGCCAATATGTTCACCTATGTCCCTTGATTGGTGAATGGAGACTGCTAATGCTCAGGTTGTTATTGAAAGGGGTGTATTAACTCCTACCATTTTATTGATCTGTAATGAGTTTGGCCACAGTTTCACTTGAGGACAATCAAATGGAAAGAGCTGGGAGGGGGGTGTAGAAAGAAAGACCTGCTCTGTTCAAGTGAGAGCGCATTAAATAAAGACGGGCTAAATGTGAAGGGGAGAGGGCTGGATGGATGTGTGTGTCGGGGGAGGGGGGTACATGAAAACAAACTTGCTTGTTTGAAGGTTTGCTGGATTCAGTTTGTCTCGAGTTCCTTCCCAGGCTTTCAGAAGCCTGTGTCACCCTGGACAGTCATGTTCTGACTTCCAGGTCTCTCTCCCTCCAGTGGACAGGATCAGAGATGTGGTCTGATCAGAGGGTGGTGCTTACAGGCGGAGCTTGAAGTGCTGGTCACACCATTTCTGAAGCTGTCCTTCAGAAATCTGTCTGTGCTGGCCCTGCCCATGTGATCTTTCTGTGTCTGTTGTTTGGCACACTTCCTGGAATCAGTTTAATTTTTCCTGCAGACACCAGCTCCAATACATTTCCACTCTGATTATTGATTCAAAGACCATTCTCAGCAGTCTATCATCTCATGCTGGCCAGGATTCAGTGTGTACCAGGTCACTTGCAACACGTTGCCTAAGAGTCACAGGCTGCCAAACCACCAATGCAAAGTCTTTTTAAAATGGACACCTGCAGCTGTTCCAGCAAAGTGCCAACAAAAACCTGGCATCTCCAAGTGCCACTTGCCTGGAATCTCATTTTCTGCTCTTTGAAAATGTTATGTTGGGCGTCTGGCGCACACTTTAATCCCAGCACTTGGGAGGTAGAGGCAAGTGGATCTCTGTAAGTTCAAGGCCAATCTGGTCTACATAGTGAGTTCCAGGCCAGGTGGGGCTACTGGGAGACCCTGTCTCAAAAAAAAAAAAAAAAAAAAAAAAGAAGAAGAAAATGTTTGTTACTGAAATAATCCTACTGAAGCATCTAGGATTGGTGCTCCTTCTTGCCAAGAGTGGGATGCTCTTGAAGCTGGACTATGGATTCTTTTACTCCTGCTCAGTAAGGTTCTCTATCTTTCTTCTTCACTATTAAAGCTAGAAATATTCACTTGTTTCACTTGTTAACCACCTCCTCTAAAAACTGTTATTCACCTTTCTCCAATTTCTTCTCTAGAGTCTGGGTATTGTCTGCCATTTTTCCACTCCCAGGAAAATGACTTTACCCTGGTAATCTGCATGCAGCCAGTGGAGGTGAGAGCAGTGAAAACTATCCCCTAGGCTAGGCAACTCCCCCAGTACTGTATGCTCTTTCTTAGGAAGTCATCACACAGGCTTCTGTACTCCAGCAAAAGGGTGCACACTGAAGAGAATATAGGAGAGACCAGAAACAGGGACTGGAAAGACAGGTGGAAAACAATAATCTTTATGTGCTAGAGATGTAGCTCAGTTTGCAGAGTGACTACCTAGCACACTTGAGGCGCTAGACCTGATCCCTCTCACACTAGGAATCTCCATAAACTAGGTGTGGTGCTAAATACATGTAATCCAATTCTAGATGCTAGGATTACAAAGAAAATACAGGAAACTAAATGTTATGTGAAAAAAAAAGGCATTACAACTCAAACAAGTCCCATTCATGTGAGAAGAGCATCAGCGTTCAAACAGTGTAACTATGGACCATTACCACAGCATCTGAAGGAGGAGTGGAGCAGAGGTAGATACCTACTATAGCCATGTCATTTATCACTGAGGTGAAGGCAAACACTTGTCATGGTGAATGAAAGTCTGGCAAAGTGGATGGCACATTTGATTTAAATGTCTAAACTATGCTTGTGTATAGCTGACAGGCAGAGATAAAACATAATAATTTTTTTTTAAATTAAAAAAAAAATTCTTGGGGCTGGAGAGATGGCTCAGTAGTTAAGAACACTGGCTGTTCTTGCAGAAGACCAGGGTTTGAATCCCAGCACCCATATGGCAGCTAACAACTGTCTATAACTCCAGTCCTGCAGATCCGACAGCCTCTTCTGACCTCCGAGGGCACTGCATGACACAGGTGCACTTACATACATGCAGGCAATACATGCATACACATAAAAAAAAAAAAATCTTTTAAAACCATGTAAAACCTGTGTATTGAAGGCCAGATGCTGGGGCACTGAAGACACGGATGAAAAGGGAGCTCTATGGGTTGGAGAGGTGGCTCAGCAGTTAAGAACACTGGCTGCTCTTGCAGAGGACCCAGGTTCGAATCCCAGCATCCACATGGCAGCTAACAACTGTCCAGAACTCCAGTTCCAGGGGATCTGACAGCCTGTCTTCTGCAGGCATTGCAAGACACAGGTGCACTTACCTACATGCAGGCAATACACACATACACATAAAATAAAAATAAATATTAAAAAAAAAAAAGAAAGAAGGCAGAGAGTAATTGAGAAGATGCCACCTGATATCCTCCCCTGGTCTTTATAAATGTGCACACACGTGTACACACACACACATATACCACACACAAAAAATATTAAGGCCAGGAATGGTGGTGGACCCTTTAATCCCAGCACATGGGAGACACAGGAAGGTGAATCTCTGTGAGTCTAGGTTCTCCGGGTCTATACAGTGAGAACCTATCTCAAAAATATATAATAATGATAATAATAATAGGGTCAGCAAGATGGCTTAGTGGGTAAAACTACTTGGTAAACAAGCCCAATGAGCTGAGTCAATTCCTTGAACTGAAAGTGGAGGGAGAGAACTAACTCCTGAAGGTTGTCATCTGCTCTCCACACATGTGCTTGTAAACACACGCACACAGACATGCATTTAATAGTTGAGATGAATTCTGCTGTAGTAAAAGGGACAGGAGCAACTACAACAGAGTAAAAAAAAGTCTCTTGTTACATGGCTAGAAAGCATGCAGGAAGGCAAACAAAGGCACAAAGTCCAACACGAAATGAGTTAAAACACTGACGACCACTAAATGTCTGTGGTGTGGTATTTGCAGACAGATCCAAGTACCACAGATACAGTAGTGAACAATAAAAATCATTTGTGAGAAGCACGTCCTAGAGAACGAACACTCAGCAAACACTGAACACCAGAGGACACCAAGTACTGTGGAGGAAAAATAAGGGCCAAGAGGGAGAAAGGTAAATGTGTTAGGGATTGAGACAAAGAGCTCCCTCTAAGATGGCATCTGAATAGGAACTTGGTGAAAATAAGGGCTCACACCTTTAATCCTAGCACTCGGGAGGCAGAGGCAGGAGTATCCCTATGAGTTCAGGGCCAGCCTGGTCAAGTTTGATATCAGCTGGGGCTATAGGAAGACCCTGACTCAAAAAACAAAAGAAAATGAAACAAAACAAAACAAAACAAAACTAAAGGGCTCAGAGCTGTGTGTACAGGGACTAGGGCAGTATTAAGGTGAAGATGAGGAGGCCATGCAGCCAGACAGGTGAATGGTATGGTGCCCAGGACTAGGCTCTTAACAGTCAATGCTAAGCTCTAAATTTACATCTTCTAAAGGTTATCTCTATATTCTAGAATATGCTTGGATACGGACCATTTCCTATTTATAGAGTATACAGCTTTTTAAGTAATATCACCCCAAATAAGTGGGAATCATTCTGTTGTAGATTTTTAAAAGATATCCATTAAAAAATAATGAAAGGTTAGATGTCATGGAGCATGCCTTTAACTGTAGCACTTGGGAGTCTGAGGTAGGAGGGGGACCTCAAATTCCAAGCCAGCTGCATACAGAAAGTTCAAGGCCAGCCTGGCCTATGGCAACATCTGGTCTCAAGAACACAAAAATCTGGGACTCAAGTGATGGCTCAGCAGTTAAGAGCACTGACTGTTCTTCCAGAGGACCCAAGTTCAGTTCCCAGGACATGCTAGCTAAGAGCCATCCCTAACAAGTTCTAGGAGATCCAATCCCCTTTTCTGGCTTCCAAGTCCCAATATTTTTCTAACTAGAAACCAAGTAAAAAAAAAAGCATTAATAAAAAATACGTAATATAGTACTGTACATCAAAAAGACTTTGAAATCAAAGCACCCAACTTTTCTGGGGAAAAATTTTTTTTTTTTAATTTTTAATTTTTATTTTAGGTGTATGAGCGTATTGCCTGCATGTGGGTAAGTGCACCCGTGTTGGTCAGAAGAGGCTGCTGGATCCCCTGGGACTGGAGTTACAGACAACTGTTAGCTGCCATGTGGGTGGTGCTGGCATTTGAATCTGGGTCTTCTTCAAGAACAACCAGTGTTCTTAACCGCTGAACCATCTCTCCAGCCCTTTTGGGGAAACTTTAATTTTTTAAATATATGTATGAGTGGTCTGCCTGCATAGACCAGAAGAGGGTGTTGGATCCCCCCTGGAATTGGAGTTAAAGACAATTGTTAACCATCACCACATGGGTGCTAGGAACTGAACCTGGGTCCTCTGAAAGAAAAGCCAGCACTCTTTAAAAAAAATTTTATCTTTTGTATATGAGTGTATATGTAAGTACACCCGTGCCATGCAATGCCTTCGGAGGTCAGAAGAAGATGGTGGAGCCCTCTGAAACGGGAGTTAGAGATGGTTGTTAGCCACCATGTGGGTGCTGAGAATCAAACCCGGGTCCAATGCAAGAGGAGCCAGTGGTTTTAACTGTTGAACAATCTCACCAGCCCCTATAGCACCCAACTTTTGATGCATCAGTCCCACATGTAGGACCCATCTTCAGGACCTCTATTCAAAGATGCCTGTCACAAAGAGCTAAGAATGTAGTAATTACAGGAAATCAGGGATACAACAAAGACAACTGAATTTCACTTAATTATTGCTGTCCAAAATGTTGATAACATAAACGAAAAGGTTCGCAGTTGACATTAGATGCCAATGTTGAGAATGGTGTGTGGTTAGGGAGGACAGTGAGCACAGGGACTGATGGTGTGCAAGTGAGTCAGGGTGCGACAAGACTGGCCAAAAGCAAGTGGATAGGACTGGGCTAGGAAAGGGGAACCAGGATGGAAGCTGGGTTCACGTTCTTCATTATACCCTTCTTTCCATATTTCACAAGTGTGTCTGAACTTCACAAAAATGTTAAGTGGGGTATCAGTACATAATTAGAGATGCTTTAGTTTGGTGTAACTAAGTCTAGATTTTCCTTCACTCAGTCATTTCAAAACATAGCATGGAAACAAATGGGACTTACCACCCAGCAGGCGTTTCCAAGATCAGCAATCTTCACTTTCAGTTTTTCTGCATTTTTTGGCTCAAGGGGATTAATAAGAAAATTTCCAGCAGTGAATTTTCCTACAGACAACAGCCATGATCAGTAACTGTTTCATGAACACAGGCTACCCCAAGGACAATGAAGACCTCCAAGTTAAGAGCTATTACACAGTCAGGCCCCCAACCTGGCAACCTACAATAAAATTTCTAACATAATGAAAAGCACAGTAGCACCTTCAGTTTCTAGAACTAACACCTCTGTGCAGTGATGATCTCAAAGCTGCATATCCTGTTTTGAACAAGTATAACTGCAAGTTAGTGGTCCATACTGAAGCACCTTGGACAGCTGCTGGCTGGAGACATAGCTCAAGGCCTGGGTTCCATCTCCGGCTCCATAAAACCAAAGAAAAACACCCTCTTCACACACCACCAAAAAACCCAAGACGCCCACTGTAAAGAATAGTCTAGAAATTCAAGAGCATGCTGTGCAGGCAGGGGCCTGGGAAGCATGTCTGCATGTGGTACCTTTGTTGTCCAGTGGTCCGTTTGGCTCCTGCTCCTGCTCCTCTGCACAGGGAATCTCGGCCCGAAAGCTTTCTTGAAGCTGGCTGATGTCCTGCTCATTGGGTGACTGGTCTACAGATGAGGAAGACTGGCATACCATGGTCTCTGACACCTCAGAGGTCACAGGTGTGCAAGAGTCTGTTTCTTGAGATGTACTGCTGTCTCCATTTTGGGAGTTTAAGAAACTAGCTTCCTGCTTCAAATTTTGGACACCACAGTCATTAGCATTATGGAGATCCTCTTTAAGCCTCAATGTTTCGTTATTACTGTTCTCATTGTAATTAACGATTTCAATTACTCCATTGCAATTAATTTCTGTTGCACCACCCTCTACACCACGTTCCGTAAGTGTTTGATCCTGGCCAATGGAACTTGACTCTTCTAAGGAACAAACAAACAGAAAAGGATGCATGTGTATGTGTGTGAGTGAACAGGAAAATTTCTCACAAGGTTAAAACATTTTCTAGAGCTTCTATTGAGTGACATTAAACATGACTGAACATCTCTCTAAAACCTACTTATGGAAGGACAAGATCTTATCCTTATCCAATGGCTAAATAAAGTCTGTGTTCCACTTCTGGAGAAAAAGTCAGAAGTTACACTTTACTATTACCTGCCTAACATTTACGACAAGGTCTGAATTCTTATAGGACACCCCCAGAGATGTGTTGCATACACGAAACTATATGTTACGTAACAACGATACATCAATGCTAAGTGTGCCATGAAGTAATTTTTGTGATGTTCTATTTATACCAAGTTTCTCTTGGGTCATTTTATTAGGTGGGTTCTCTTTCAAGGGTCTTTCAACAGGACTCTCTGATTCTTCTTGCTCGTTAGGTCTTTTTTGCCCAGGGCCCGACTCTTTCTCCATTTCCTCAATTTCCTGCATTCGCTTCTCTAGCAATTCTGCCTGGCGCTTCTGCTTCTTCTTCAATTTCTTCTTCTTATTCTTTGACATTTTGTCAGCCTGGGCGGAGATTACAAACAGATAAAGCCTTCAGGTGGCTAATCCATTATCCCTGGTTGGAGACAACTGTTAACTTTAATTATTTCCTAATTAAATTTCACACTTGCCCTTTCATTAACTTAAAAGCTGCAGACTTTTAATGAAACCACACAAAAATGAAACTGACAACAAATCTTGGTCTTCTGAGCAGTCTCTGGGGCTGGCTTACTCTGACACATATTTATAGATGCCTCATCAGTACAAACTTGCTGGAGGTATGTTGGAATTTACTGCAGAAAATTACAGAAGCGCAGGAAATATTCTTTTTCTTTGGTTTCCAAACTCTAAATCAACTGTGACCATCCACTCAGAAGAACCCAGGCCCAGCACCCAGAGCAGAACTGAATAGAGAAATCCCTCATACTTACTGGTTTAGGTTGCGGAGCAGTACTGACTGAAAAGAAAAAAAAAGACAAAAACCAGGTAAGAACCCTAGCCTTTAGCAGGCACCCTAACAAAGGATGGGAAGAGTCACCCCAGAATGGAACATCTCTTGTACAGCCCACATTACCAGCAACACTGGTACATGTCGTAACATATTTATGTTTAAAGAAAACAAAGAACACCTACAAAAGTGGCTCAACCTTATAAATGTTGACTCCCTCCTCAACCAGCATCGGTCTCCACAGAACCAAGGTCTAACTTCTGTCTCCACTACTGATGCCACTAGGACCACACGCTTCCCGTGTGCACATACGGCAACAGCCTCCTTGTCTCAACTAGGACTCCCACCCCCTTGTTATTTTCCTTGGCACTGATCAGTGCTTTGCTTGCATGTATGTAAGTGCATCACAAGCATGTGTAATGTCCACAGAGGCCACAAGAGCCTGGATTCTCTAGAACTGGAGTTACAGTTGTCCGTCACCATGTGGGTGCTGGAAACTAACCCTGGGTCCTCTGCAAGAGCAGCCAGTGCCCTTAAGCACTGAGCCATCTCTCCAGCCCCTTTTTCTTTTAATTAAAAACATTAATTATGTGTGTCTGCATGATACTGGGGGGGGGGTTGCCACAATGCACATGAGGACAACTTTATGGAGTCAGCTTTCTCCTTTTACCTTTACATGGCACACATAATCAAACTCAGGTGTCTAGGCTTACTCAAAAGCATCTTTACCATCTCACTGGCCCATTTCTTAGCTTTAAAGAGGAATCTAGGTGACACGCAAGAGCTACAGTAATGTACCACACAGCATCCTGCAGGTAACAGTTTAACTTAGGTGGGATGCTTAATCTTCTTTTCTTTAGAAAGTATAACTGTGGCTGAACACAACATAAAATGTATCCTCTTTATTGTATATGCCGATGTTAACTATTTCTACTAAAACTTTTCCATGTTCCAAAACTGAAGTCCTGTTGGACAACTGTTTCCTCCTTGTCAGATCTTCCTTAAAAGGAAGTCTATGATAACTAATATTTCAACTTAAATGTCAACAAAATTCCTCAAATTATTAAACTACTAAAATTAAAATCTATATACCCTGACTAGAATAAAAACACGATAATCAGAGCAACCACCATTTATTTAACACATGATACTGTGTGGCACACTACTAACTGCACTGCTGTGAAACTGAACCCCATAACTCCTAGGTAAGGAAAAATAAAAATCAAGCAACTCATCCAAGGCCTCCTAGTCAATGAACAGAACCAAGTTTGATTATTCAAACAGTGCTTCAACTCAAGCTCTTGTCGGACTAGTTATCTAGTCTGTCTGCACTAGTCTCTATGTCAGCACCTGTGAGCAGCTAAGAGGTAAACACTTAAAAAACGGCTATCAAGAAGTGGACCCAGTGTCACTCAGCTATAATCCTGGCACTTAGGAAGCAGAGGTGGAAGGACTGGGAGTTCAAATACAGTCTGGTTTATTACATAGGAAGACTTGTCCTTAGAAATTAAAACTAGAGCCAGGCATGGTGGTGCATGCCTGTAGTCCCAGCACTTGGGAGGCAGAAGCAGATGGATCTCTGTGAGTTTAAGGACAGCCTGGTCTACATAGTGAGTTCCAGGACAGCTGGGGCTACAGGGAGACCCTGTCTCAAAAGGACCCCCCCCACACCCGAAAAAAAAAAATTAAAATTAGGGTCAGCAAGATGGCTCAGTGCATAAAAGCACTTGCTGCCAAGCCTGACAACCTGAATTTGATGCCTGGGACTCACATGATGGAAGGAGAGAACCAACTCCTGTGAGTCGTCTCTGACTATATGCACACACGTCCCTCCAAAGTAAACGAATGTAATAAAAGATTAAAATTTTTAAAAGAGCCCACCAATTAAGAAGAATATCCTTAAACAACAAGTTAGCTATTTTAGCTCATGTTCACCAAAATGACACTAATCTCCAGTTTTCTTATTGCCACTGGAAGGCAATAGTTAGAAGTCTCTTGAATGCTACACTATGTTCAGTACTTTCTCAATAAGTGACTGAATATTGCTGCCCTGTGACCAGGTGAAACAGAAGCTTCTGATGCCTGCGGAGCTGCAGCCCCATACCTGCAGAGCCAGAAGGTGGAGGAGCTCCGGACCGTTGCCACTCGGTTGCTTCTGCAGCCAGCCTGCGGATGTACTGGTCATTCACCGACAACAAGATGTTTTCTGGTTTAATGTCAGTGTGGATGATACGGCACTTGGTGTGTAAATAATCCAGACCCTGTAACACCTGAATGGAAATAAAGCAGTAGATTCATAAGTACAAAATCCAGACCTTTCTGGAAAAGAAATCACAGTATATTTTTAAAGAGTGACTTCCCTAGAAAAATTAAGTTACCAAGTTTTTCTGTTTTTTGCTTTTGTTTGCGACAGGGTCTCCCTAGTCCCACCCCGCCTGGAACTTACTATGTGGACCAGGCTGGTGTCCATCTCACAGAGATCTGCCTCCCTCTGCCTTGCCAGGACTGGGATTAAAGGTATGCACCACCATGCCTGGCATATAAAGTGCCAAGTTTTTAAAAGCTAATTCTACTCAGAGATGTTATATATGTGTTCTCTAATTGAGAACAACTACCCAACACAGTCTTCAAATGCTAAGACGCAGATAAGGAAGGCCGAGTTATCTGTCCACAGATACTCACTGATGAAGAAATGAGGCTTCCTATTTCCAGCTCAGAGCTCTTCCTGATGTATTACCCAAACAAATTAATTTGGGGCTGGAGAGATGGCTGAGCATATAAAAACCCGAGTGGGGAGGCAGAAACAGGTGGATCCCTGGGGCTCACCAGCCAGCTGGTCTATCCTAACTGTAACCTAGGTCAATGAGAGAGGCCTTGGCCCCCCAAAATAAGTTGCCCAGGCATGGTGATACCTCCCAGCACTTGGGAGGCAGGTGGATTTCTGTGAGTTTGAGGCCAGTCTGGTCTATACAGAGTTCCAGGCCAACTAGGGCTACATAATAAGACCCTATCTTAAAACAAACAAACAAACAAACAAAACCCCAAACCTAATACCCAAAAGAAAACAAAGAAAAAGGTAGACAGCTTCAGAGAAACAAGAGGTTAACCTCTGGCCTCTACACCTGTGTGCATAAGTACCCACCTAAACATGAGCACTCACATGCACATAAGATGTGCACAGCAATTCTATACTAATATTTAGTGCTCAGAACTTTTTAAAAAATATTTTGCATTTATTATTTTTATTTTATGTGTATGAGTGTTGTGCTGGATAGCTTTAGTGTCAACTTGACACACCTGGGTTGAGGGAGCCTCAATTGGGGAATTGCCTCTATTGGACTGGCCTGTGGCCATGGGTCATATTCTTGATGAGTGATGTGGGAGGGCCCAGCCCACTATGGGTGATGCCACCCTTGGACAGGTGGGTCTGTGTTACATAAGAAGGCAGGCTGAGCAGGGGTCAGGGGAGCAAGCCAGTAAGCAGCGATCCTCCATGGCCGCTGTGCTCCAGCTCCTGCCTCCAGGTTCCTGCCCTGAGTTCCTACCTTGGACTCCCTGATGAACTGTGACCTGGGAGAGGTAAGCTAAATAAACCCTTTCCTCCCCAAGTTGGTAGTGGTCAGAGTGTTTTGTCACAGCAATGAAGAAACAAACTAGGACAAGTGTTATGCCTACATGTGAACCCGTGTCGTGCAATGCCCATGGAGGACAGAAGAGGCTGTCAGATCCCCTGGAACTGGAGTTACAGACAGTTGTTAGGTGCATGTGTGTGCTGAGATTCAAACCCAGGTCTTCAGCAATAAGTGTTCTTAACCACTGAGCCATCTCTCCAGCCCAGTGCTCAGAACTTATTTTAAATAAGGGCTTCTGATTTCACATACTCAAGTGTCTCAAAGTGTTTCCTTTCTAATAATTACAGAGGACAAATCTGGGGAAAATGGTTATGCTAAACACTTAAACCAGAATAAACACAGTAAACCCTAGGGTCCAAATAAAGTATTTAATTTCAGCAAAAAACCTTCAGTATTTGTTTGTCTGAGACAGGATTGCACTGCAGCTTAGGCTGGCCTCAAACTTGTGGCGATCGTATTGCCTCAGCCTCCTGAATGCAGACACTACAGACATGAATTACCACACTGGCTGTCCCTGGTTTTGTGTGCACATACACTCGGACGCCAACGCCGGATGTCTGACACTATCCACTTCATTTTTGAGACAAGATTTCTCACTGAACCCAGAGCTTATGACTGGCTAGACTGAGGCTAGCCAGAGTTCCAGGGATCTATCTACCCTCCTCCGGCCCTTACTAAGATACCCAGTTTTTATGTGGATACTAGAGATCCAAACTCAAGTACTTATGCCTGTGTGGCAGGTACTTTACTAGCTAAGTCACTTCCCAAGCCTCAACTCTTGGTTTTTTAAAATAAAAATTCTGTTTTTGAACAGGAAACACTGGATACTTTCATATAAAAAGCTAACACTGAGCAATACACACACCTGCTGAATGATTTTTTTGACACAAGGCAGTGGAAGTCCCTGATAGTTGGACTTGATGATCCACTTGAGTAGATGATGCCCCAAAACTTCAAACACCATGCAGATATCTGTAAGTTCGTTAAGGAAGAAGAAGGAGACAAGAAAAACAGGCGAGATGTGGATTTCATCCCAATGACAATGTTTTGTACTATTTTCTTAAGTCACAAAATAATGCAAAAATAAGTAGCTTTCAATAATCTGAACTCTACAGTCAATGCAACAGAAAGTTGTATGAAAGGCTGATTCATGATTCAAGTCATGCACGTTAATATACTCCTGTGGAAAAAGGCAAAATGAACCCTGAATGTGCAGCAGTCAAAGTGCCAGGCTCAAGCATCAACTTGATCCAGGCAGAGCAGTTTCTTCTGTAATGCTCAGGGTAACACTTCCACTTACATAGGCTCAAAGTAAAAAAATAAATTATTTTTCTTTCTATACTGCCAGGGAACAAACCTGCTATCTTGCCGGGCAACTGCTCTACACTGAAGATATATCTCAAGCCAATATTTTAAAAAATAATTTATTATTTTATGTGTATCAGTGTATTGCCTGCATGCAGGTAAGTGCACCCGTGTCGTGCAATGCCTGCGGAGGACAGAAGAGGCCATTGGATCCCCTGGAACTGGAGTTACGGACAGCTGTTAGCTGCCATGTGGGTGCTGGGATTCAAACCCGGGTCTTCTACAAGAACAACCAGTGTTCTTAACCACTGAGTCATCTCTCCAGCCCTCAAGCCAAAAATTTTAAAACAGAGATGGTGACTCGCTTTCTGCTCTGTAGATTACGAAACTCATCTTCACTTGGTGCCAGCACATGTTCTTTATTCCTAAACACCCTGATGGCAATGTAAGGCAGGGGTACTGTGCCACCTACTCTGAACATGCAGGGTACTGCAGAGACTTTAGCAGGTGTGTGGATCACCCACCCCCAGTTTCTTCACGTACTAGAATGTAAAGACATGCACATGGGCATTTAGTAATGATCTAATGGCCAGATGTTTAAGTGAGATTCTCTAGTAATAAAGAAAGCCTGCACTCCCTGGGAAAATGGCCAAATCCAGGGCCAGATATAGGGTAAGTCAAAGGGACAGAAGGCATCCTACTACTACGTAGCCCAAGTTTAACTAGAATTGGGGTTGTAGGTGTGCCACCATGCTTGGTAGAAGAGGTACCATTCTAAAGAGGGTATCATTTATCAAAGTGGAGACCATATCAAGGAGTAGTGAGTGAATATATCAATCAAAAACAGAATGAATTAACATTGGCACCAAGAGTTATATAAAGAGGGGCAGAGGAGAAACTTTCTTAGAGAAGAAAGCCAAAGTTAAATAATAAAAACACAAGATCTGATGATACTAAAAAAACTGTATATAGTGCAAAAATATTTTCCACAGATTGAAAAACTAGCCTGCATTTCTAAATAATTTCAGTCAAGATGGAATAACAGGACTGCATTTACCAATTGTGACAGACAAGTGCATAAAACAGAAGCCACTGGACATCAGGCGACAGAACCAAGATCCCTAAGAAGGAGAGGAGCAAGACAGATGGCCCAGTTTGCCAGGTAGACTGTGTGGAAACAGCATTCAAAGTCTCAGGAGACCAAGTTGACAACAGTTCACAGACCAAGGTGCCAGAAGGATTAGAGTAGATACTGTAACCAGTATCCCCACAGATACTAGAAAACTACTCATTCTACAAAAAAGATGAGGGAAATTCAGTCACGGGTCTTGGTAGAATTACTCAGGAAGGTCTTGACTCAACAGAGGGGAATGTTTAGTCCTGGCCCAACCACAGCTTTAATCCAATCTAACAGATCATCAAAGAAAAACCTGAAAGTATGAAACTGTTTGTTTGGTTTTTGAGTCAGGGTCTCCCTGTGGTCCCAGGTGCCTAGAACTTGCTATGTAGTCCAGGTTGGCCTACACTGCACAGAGATTCACCTGCCTCTGCCTCCCAAGTGCTGGGATTAAATTTGTGCACCATCAAACTCAAGGTAGGAGGAAACTATTTTACAAGTAACCTAACTGCATCCTAGAACGGAAGAAGTTCCAGAAGGTTTATAGGAATGCCACCAATGTGCCATACTAAAAAGCAAAAATGCAAGAAACATTTAAAAGTATGGGGCTGGAGAGATGGCTCAGTGGTTAAGAGCACTGACTGCTCTTGCAGAGGACTGGGGTTCAGTTCCCAGCACCCACATGGCAGATACAAACTGTCCTTAACTCCAGTTCCAGGGGAATCCAAAGCCCTCTTCTGACCTCTGTGGCACTGCATGACACAGGTACAACTCACATACATGCAGGCAATACACTCATACACATAAAATAAAAATAGTAAAATATTGGGGCTGGAGAGATGGGTCAGTGGTTAAGAACACTGGCTGGTCTTCCAGAAGACGCGGGTTCGAATCCCAGCACCCACATGGCAGCTAACAACTGTCCATAACTCCAGTTCCAGGGGATCCGAAGGCCTCTTCTGTCCTCCGCAGTCATTGTACAACATGGGTGCACTTACCGACATGCAGGCAATACATGCATACACATAAAATAAAATGAAATATTAAAAAATAATATAAAAAAATTAAAATTAGAATAACTGATCACTTGAAACTGACCAAGAACCAACACAGATGTTAGAATTAGCAGACAAGAATATTAAAAATCAAAGTTCAAGGAATGAGGATGCTTGATTGGTAGAGTGCTTGCATAGCAAGCAGGAGGCCCTGGGTTCTATCGCCAGGACCACATGAACCAGGAGTGGTAGTGCACATCTGTAATCCCAGCACTTAGGAGGCAGAGGCAGGAAAATCAGAAGTTCAATGTCATTTTCCACAAGTTGAAGGCCAGCCTGGGATGAGAATACTGCCTCATATAGAAGACCCTGTCTCAAAAGAAAGGGGTGGGGTAGAGGAGTGACTGCGGGTTAAGAGCACCAGCACGCTGCTATCACCGCCTCTGCTCCTCTTGGGCACCACACACACCAGTAAAAACACACATGCAATCAAATGCTTATGGAAATAAAAATAAATCTTTAAAATATTTTTATTTAGTATTTTTTATGTGTAAGTGTATATTGCCTGCAGAGTCAGAAGAAGGCGTTGGATCCCCTGGAACTGGAGTCAGACGGTTGTTAGTTGTCATAAGGGTGCTGGGAATCGAACCTGGAACCCCTGGAAGAACAGTAAGTGTTCCTAACTGCTCAGCCACATCTCCAGTCCCAATAAATAAATCTTTAACCATCATGGTGAGGAGGCATGGCTGCAGAGGTGGCTGGAGTAGAAGCAGAAGGAAAGCTCTCACATCTTCAAGCAGGCATAGGAAGCAAGCAAGAGAGTGACTCGAGATCTGGCAAGGCTTAAGAACTCTCTAAGTCTGCCCCCAGTGACATGCTTCCTCCAGCATGGTTACACTTTCTAAGGCTCCCAAAACAGTGCCACCAACTGGAGACAAAAATGTCTAAACACTTGGGGCCTATGGGGGACAATCTCACTCAAACCATCACAGACAGGATTGAGGCTATTCATCTAATAATGAAGAGATGTTCAACAAGTTGGGCTTCGATTAGTGGGTGTAAAGGAATCAGATACTAAGGTTCAGAATGTCAGCTAGGTAGTAGGAACAGAAGGCCTGGCTGTTCAAAAACATGGGATAAGGGTACAATGCCTAAATTGAAGATGAGAAGCCCAAGACAAGGACTTCACCTAGTTTATAAGCAAAGAGAAAATAGGACTCTGGTTTAATGTGAGGGGATAAGGTCTGGAGGTAGTCAGGAGAATAGAACTAAAATGGTAGAACAAGGATCAAGAAGATCAGGAATGACTGCACTAGTACAGCAAGGGTGAAATGAGCCAAGAATTACTGCTGACGAGGTACTTGGGCAAAGAAACGGTTCCGAGGGCCGTGAAGATAAACTGAAGGCAAAGAATGGGTTAGGGTGGTTGTGACTGCTGAGAACCCTCAATTCACTCAAGTAATCAATTAGATCTAATGTAAGGAATGGCCAAAGGTGGGGATGATGGCTGTTCCTCACAAGCAGAACATAGCCTCTAAGTGATGTAAACACAAGTGGTAAAATGATTCCAATGTTTCAAGTTTCTATAAAGGCACAGGAACCACAGTAAAATCCTCATTCTACAAGATTAAGAAGATAAAAAATAGAGAAGCTGTTTGCACAGAGATGACAACCAGGTAAAGACTTGGCAAAGTGGTTAACAGGTGAAACACAGTTGCCTGATGTCTGAGTTATTTATTGCTAGAAAAACCCTGCAATGGTTTGTAACACTAAACACATTCCTGACAGGGAGCTGAAATTCTGTCACGGTCAACCACTGGGTGGTGCAGGGAATAATCAATCAATGAATGACTAATAGCTTTCATGAGGGGCGTTGCTTTCCCGATGATGGTCATTAAGGTTTCTATAGCTGAAAAGTGATTTTCATGTTAGTGGTTATGGTTAATTGTAGCCGAAAATTATGACACATATCACTTATACTTTCCTTCCCAATTTATGGTGGATGAAGATCAAGTGTTACCAGCTGAACCATGTTAAGTTTGGTGGGATACCATGTTACTCCGGGATACTACAGTGACAGCAATGGAAGGCTGTTCTGAGACGTGTTCAGGCAGTGATCTGGCACTGATTAATGTTAGGCTTCCTGACTGGATTAGTTATGATCGTATAACAGCAGATCAAGATGAAGCAAAACTGTTACTGAGTTCAGTGACAGAGAGGAGAGACTTGTGAGTGGAGACACTGCACTATGGTCACACTAGTCTTGGCAGATAGGTGGGCGTGGCTAGTCCATCATCATTTGTCTGCATTTTTTTTAAAAACATTTTTTTATGTCTATGAGTGTATTCCCTGCATGTAGGTAAGTGCACCCATGTGATGCAACACCCTCGGAAGACAGAAGAGGCCGTCAGATCCCCTGGAACTGGAGTTAAGGACAGTTGTTAGCTGCCATGAGGCTGGGATTCGAACCCGGGTCTTCTGCAAGAACAACCAGTGTTCTTAACCGCTGAGCTATCTCTCCAGCCCCATTTGTTAGCATTTTTATTATTAAAATCATTTGGGGAAATTAAATGGCAAGAAAAATAAAAGGGGGATGTGCGGATGAGGAACGAAGGAAACAGCTTGGCTCTGACCTGACTTGGTATCATTGCTAAAGCAGACATTACGATGTTGGAAACAGTTTAAGAGGCCATTTTTCTTTTTTTCTGAGACAGGGTCTTACTACATAGCCCCAGCTAGCCTACAACTTGCTGTGTATACCAAGTTGGCCTCAATCTCACAGAGATTCACCTGCCTCTCCCCCTCTGACCACTAGGATTAAAGGCATGCACCACCCCACCCAGCTTGGATTTATTGAATCCCTCATTTTTCAGGCATAATGAATCAAATCTGTGAAGAAGCAGGAGGATCTCCTTTTGAGGCCAGCCTAAACTACACAGTAGGATCATGTCTTTTTTTTTTTTTAATTTTGTTTTTAAAAGTCTTTCTGAGACAGGGTCTCCCTGTAGCTCCAGCTGGCCTGGAACTCACAGAGATCCACCTACCTTTGCCTCCCTGAGTGCTGGGATTAAAGGCATGTGCTACCATGCCCAGCCTAAGACCATTCCTTTTTAAAAAAAGCACTTACCTTAAAATTTCTGTGCTAACTGATAAGTCAAGACTTTTATTAGTAATACAAAGCTTTCTTTAAAAAATTATTTTAATTTTCTTGTAAAGGGGAAAACTGAAGTAATATTCTTGAAAAGGCATGATACAAATACATAATTCATATCTGTGTTTGGAAGTGTACAATTTTATAGTTAACCTTGAGAAAAGGCACCAGTGCTGTTTGTACAAAACCAGGTTCTTTCTTTGGGAATTATTTTATGATTAATTTAAAATAAGTTCTTGGGCTGGTGAGATGACTCAGTGGGTAAAGTGCTTGTCAAGCAAGCTTGTCTACCTGAGCTCAATCCCCAGAGCTCATGCTGGAAAGAGAACTGACTTGCTGACATTCACATATGTGCCATGGGGCACGCACGCGCGCACACACACACATACACACACACACAGCAATAAAATAAATATGAAAAAAAAAAGAATTGCATTCTTGAAAGGATACGTGTTCCATTAACACCTGATATTTTAAAGTCATCTAGTAGCTGAACCACCATTTCTCTGTTTGGATCATTCGGGTCTGAATTGCGAACCTGTGTTGAGAAGAGAGCATTAGCACAAGGGGCAGCGGCAGAGCAGTCAATGGTAGGGAGGGAACATGACACAAGCTGTGTTAAGCTCCAGCTATGCACTGTTGTTTTTCTACACAAAAGAACCAAATGGATGCTCAGATAAAAGACACCTATCTTTCCAGGATGAACTGAATCAATGAATAAAGTACCTGTCGACACATTTTCCTGTAAGAATGCAAAACATATAGTAGATGCTAGAATTTACTCATACAACTTTCCTTTAACCACAGTTAGGAAAGAAAAACATTTATGACAGTGCTGTGTGGCACATAAAATATGTTAAAGAAAAATTTGCTTACTTGAAAACTATGAGGTATGTATGCTTGTAGGATGAATTCTAACCACCGAATATAGCAATCCCCTACTATGTGTAGGGAATGTGTAAATATGCTTTTCTTCTATCCCTCTTTAAGGAGAATGACTCTGAAGCTAAACAGCAAAAACCTAGGCCTAGTGTACCACTTGCCACATCTTAATCCCACACATGACTGGTTTACTGTTTCTGCGGTCACATAAAGATCTAATACTCACTGATTTCAGCAAACGGATCTCGTCTAGTGCTGTTTCAGTGTAATGCTCGGCACTTTTAACTACTTTCATTGCCACAAACTTCTTCCCCCTAAGGAACAAACAAGACAATCCTACCTTTACTGTTGGTGCTAAGATGAAGTTACCACCTGGGAGATGGCATGTAAACACTAGGTTCCCACCTCTCTGTGGCCAAACAGAAGTGCTTCTTCTGTGGGTTGCTTCCCTGTGAACGGCAGGGAGCCAGATCTCCAACAGAGTCTGCCCTCAGATCATCTCAGCCACTGAGCATCTTCTCTCAGATAAAACCTGTTACCTTCTGAGACCCTTTCTGAACTCCAAGTTAAACTAAAACCCACCCATTCAGAGCACCCTGAGCAAAATAAACAGCTTCAAGAGCTGCTGCACTGCTTGTGAAGAGCCAGAAACACTTGGGAGAAAACAAAAACACAAAAACTTAAATGACTGAAAGTGCAATGCACATGTGCATGCTGTCTCCTCAGATGCAGATGACTTAAATTTAGAAAATATTGAGTACTGGGCCGGGTGTGGTGGCGCACTCCTCTAATTCCAGCACTTGGGAGGCAGAGGCAGGCGGATCTCTGCGAGTTCAAGGCCAGCCTGGTCTACATAGTGAGTTCCAGGACAGCTGGGGCTATAGGGAGACCCTGTCTCAAAAAGACCAAAAAGAAAAAAGA